AATAAAGCTGAGAATCAGACTTTGTTACAGAGTTTTGAAGAGGAGATTTCAGGGATGTTGTTAACATATTCTAATGCTAATTTGGTTTTGGGTGGAGATTGGAACACCATTAGTGACCCCTTGTTGGACTGTCTGCCTCCACGACAGGTTAGACAGCATTCTTTTTCTTATATTAGCGACTTATGTTTGCATCTTAATTGTCTTGATGAATGGAGAGATAGAAATCCTAGTAAAGTTGAGTTTACATGGAGTAATAAGGATGGCTCCAAACAATCCAGAATTGACTTTTGGTTACTGTCTAAAGAACTAGCACAGAAGGTTAAGGAAATTGATATAATACCTTCCATTCTTACTGACCATAAAATGATCCATGTCATATTTGGTTTTGATAGTTTGGCTGAAAAAAGATCTGGGTTTAATTATTGGAAGTTAAATAACTCTCTCCTTGGAAATGAACAATTTCAGAAAGATGTTAAAAATATTATAAAGGAGTCTTATATTAAGGCAAATGCTTCTAAAGCGTTTGGTAAACATTGGGAATTTATGAAGTATTCAGTAAGAAAGTTTGCTATCAGGTTTGGAAAAGAATTGGCCAGAGCCAGAAGGGTTAAAGAGGATTCCATCATTAAACATATTATTCTTATATATGAAAAGCATAATTTATCTCAAATAGATAAAGATTTGTTAGTTAAATTACAATTAGAATTGGATCAAATATTTGAGAATAAGGCAAAAGGAGCATTTGTGAGGACAAGGCGTAAATGGTTGGAAGAGGGAGAAAAGAACTCAAAATATTTTTTTAATCTCGAAAAGAGAAATACTGAATTGTCCTCTCTTAAAAGACTTTTGATTGATGCTAAAATTTCAACTGACTCAAATGAGATCTCTCAGTTTGTAACCAATTTTTATAAAAAATTATACACAAAAAATGAAGATATTGGAGGCGCAGGTTTTTTTTTGGAAAATATTCAAATTAATTCTACAGTAATAGATGAAGATTCAAAACATTTTTGTGATAGGGAAATAACACTGGATGAAATTCATAAAAACATTGCCAAATTGAAGAATAATAAATCACCGGGTAATGACGGTTTAACCGCCGAATTTTATAAAACATTTCAGGAAGATCTCTCTGTGTTCCTTTTAAAAGTTTTTCAGGAAATATTGGAAACTGAGAAAATGTTGCCTACTATGAATCAGAGCTTAATAACCCTTATACCAAAGTCGGGTAAAGATCCACTTAGTATTGAGAATTGGAGGCCCATATCTTTAATTAATAATGATACTAAACTGTTATCGTCTATATTTGCAGAGAGGATGAAGCTTTGTCTGGATACAATTATTGATGACTGCCAGTCTGGCTTTATGCGTGGCAGATATATTGGAAATAATATTCGTCTAGTTTTGGACCTAATTGATTATAATTTCTTAATTCAGGATGAAAGTTATATATTATTCATTGATTATTATAAAGCCTTTGACTCTGTGGACCATGCATTCTTGATGGATACTCTTGCTTTTTTTGGCTTTGGTAACTTTTTTATTAGAGCAATTCGTACAATGTATAGTGATTGTAATACTTCTATCAAACTGCCTTTTGGTACAACTCCCAGATTTAACATTTCTCGAGGTGTTAAACAAGGGGACCCTATAGCTCCTTTCTTATTTTTATTGGTTATGCAAGTGTTGTGCCTTCATGTTAAAAATAACCCATTTCAAGGTATTTGTTTATTTGGCAAAGAAATAAAATGTTCACAGCTTGCAGATGATACAACCATATTTTTGAGAAGTGACAAAGAAATAAATGCAGCACTTAGGTGTTTAGATATGTTTTCGTCAGTCTCTGGCTTAATGATAAATATTAATAAATGTGAATTGTTCCCTTTGAAAGACATGCCTGATGGTGGGGTGGAATTGTGTGGAATACCAGTTAAAAACCAAGTCTCTTATTTGGGGATCAAAATATGTAAAAATCAAAAGGAAAGAATTGACATAAATTATCCTCCATTAATTGATAAAGTGCAAAAGAAATTTAATATGTGGTTAATGAGAGATTTATCTTTGACTGGGAGAATATTGCTATCAAAGGCTGAAGGGTTGTCTAGATTATCTTATACAGCAATGGTTTTAGATGCTCCAAACTCAATTATTAGGCAAGTTAATACGAAAATATACAATTTTATTTGGAAAAATGGGCCACATTACTTAAATAGAGGTATATTAGGCAATTTATTTCATCAAGGTGGTTTAAATTCCATTGACTTTGAAGTATCTAATACTGTCTTTAAAATTAAATGGATTCAGAATTGTATCAAATCTAATAACAAATTGTGGTATTATATTCCAAATCAAATGTTTAACCAAATTGGAGGTATTAATTTTCTCCTCAGTTGCAACTTTGATATTAATAAAGTTCCTATTAAGCTATCTAACTTTCACAGGCAGGCTCTGTTATCCTGGATGCTGGCATACAAACACAATTTCTCTCCCCATAGATGTTTGATATGGAATAATAAAAATATTAAATATAAGAATAAAACACTTTTCTTGGAATATTGGTTTAGAAACAATATTTTATTAGTGACGCAGTTGCTTCGTCATGATGGTCACTTACTTTCATATGGTGAATTTCTGGATAAATTCGTACTGCCGATATCTGCAAAGGATTATGCAGTGGTTTTTGATGCAATACATTCTGGTCTTCTTCAGTTGTTGCGCTCTGCTAATGCTGTTGATTTGAATATAACTATTGATTTTAATTTGAAGTTAGAGGGTATAAGTATTGTTGATAAAAAATGCAACAATAATTTCATCAGACAGGTTTGTTGTTCATCTAGAATTCCTCCAGCTAAAAGTTTCTGGAATTCACGTTTTCAGGGCATTAAATGGGAGGAGGTTTTTGTGGTTTCCAGGAAATACTGTGTCATTAATAAGATTCGTGAGGTTTCATTTAAAATTATTCATTGTATTTATCCAGTTAATCAGGTCATAAAAAGATTTAAGAAAGATATCGATTTGAAATGTCTATTTTGTAATTTAAATGACGAGACTATCTGTCATCTTTTTTTAAATTGTATTTGTACTAAATTGTTTTGGTGTGACTTTAAGATCTTTTTTAAGGAGATTTCTGGAATTGACATTATTTTGGAGGATAAGGATATAAATTTTTTTTACGATAAGCCTCTAGAAAAGAAAATTGGTTTTGTCCTTAATTTGTTTATTATTTTAGGTAAATATCACATTCATAAATGTCGATGGGCAAAAACTGCACCTAATTTTATACAATTTAAATTTGAGATTTGTCAGTATCTTAAAACATTGGAGGGTGTAAGGAACACCAAGGCAAAAAAGACTATAGACTGTTGTAAAGCCTTGAAATGTTATCCTTTTTAAGGGCCTTTATTATTTTGTAATTAAAGAAATGTATCTGATTTCAATACCCCTATGTATATAGTTTTCTATATATTTTGTTGTTGTGTTTTTGTATTATTATTATTGTTTTGTATTTAATTATTGTATGTTTTGTTATTGAATAAAGCATTTAAAAAAAAAAAAAAAAAAAAAAAAAAAAAAAAAAAAAAAAAACAGTGATTGAATATGTTCAATCGGCGAAAACAAGCCCCAACCAATGGCAACAGATTGAAACAGGGGTAGCACAATGATCCAAAAAAACAACAACTAAGTGCCGTTGCCATTGGTCTGGGTAAATTTTAATTGTTTAAAATAAAAACAAAGCATATGTTTAATTGTTTAAAATAAAAACAAAGCATATATGTTTAATTGTTTAAAATAAAAACAAAGCATGTGGGAATATTTACCTATATATGTTTTCTATATATTTTAGCATATTTATTAGTAACGATAGCCTACGTTTAAGGCGTCCGTCCTGCAATCTGAATTTCCCACGGACCACAGGGGCTTGTGCTGGTCGGGTCAGAAGTTTGCTCAATAATGTTTAAATCCTGGTAAACATGAGGCAAAGAAAGTTCTCAATTCTTAGAGATTTATTCAAATCCAAAAGCTGGACAAGCAAGCCCAGTTCCAGTAATTGGCAGCAGGTTCAACACACTTCAATTCTTACTCGACACCTTTTAAAGGTAACAACATGGACTACAGCGCCATCTCCTGACAAAAACAACACTGTCTCCCTGTCTTCACTTCTCCCAGATAACACAACCGTCAGCCAGCGATCCGAACTGGTGTCCGTGGTAGCAGTGCGCGGTTGAGTCAGAGCCCTAAATCTCACCCGAGACCCGCTCAGAAATTATGCCCCGTGCGGGTCACATAAAACTTCGTCTGCGTTCAGTCCAAGAGCCGGTTCAGATAGCGCGACTGCGGCTCGACACGATAAAAACACGTGAGCCCGGTTCTAGTGATGAATCCATCGACAGTGTTTTTAATGCAACGTTGTTGAACTGTAGCCTTTGTAGTGGGGTGAGAATTTGTGGCATTCTGATACTAATGAAAGTTTGTCTTCTTGCAATTGCACTGTGAACCGTTTGCAGGGGCTCTATTCAAGAATAACATAATTCTTGGCTCAACACCGCATGCACACACACTTAGCTTAAAACCACAACAAAATCCATCCTATGTTCATCTATCTCAAATATTTTTCCTATTATCGTCTGCAGTATCACTACTGTAGCTTAATACATTTTACAATTAGTCATCTAAAGGATCTAATAGTTGTTCGCAGGTTGAGGTGGCTTTCAATCCACAATGTGGCAGGTCATTAAAGAGAGAGTGCCTGTCCCAGATTCCAATGATTTATCACTTGCTTGTAATTGCAGCAGCCAGGGGTGTGATAAAGAAATACAGACCCTCATAAATAAGCTTGTCTGAAATTGCAGATTGTGGTTCGGTCAGCTACCTTTGGGGAATCAAAACATAAACAATAAAATGTACCACACAGCCAGATGAAGCTACATGGTTTCAAAAGTGGATCGAGTCTACAAAGTAAATAGTTGCTGTTGTTTAACTTTTTTTTTTTTTTACATGACAGACACATTCAAGGTCAGCTGAGTTGAAATATGTTATTTTTATTTTCTCATATTATTTTCATTTATTTTTAATTTGGTGCTTCTTAAACTTACATTCAATCTGGCTCCATTATACGTAATGCACATTTTTCAGGATCCAATCAGTTCCAATAAATAAAAAACACATTCTGCCATGCATATTTTTCATTTCAGAATATTAAATGAAATGGGTTGCAAGCAACAATTCACAATTATGAATTATATATTGTTATTATACATTCATTTTTTTAGAAAGTAGTCATATTTTTGTTTATTTTTTTCTTTTAAGTGACAATATTTATAGAATAAATGTAAAATTACAATTATCTGCCAGTGAAGCATTCAATAGGAAAAGAGTTTAGAAACCTTAATGAATGAAACCCCATGGAGTCTACAAGTGTAACATTTCTAATGGGTTATTAATAGAAAAACAATTTACAGAATACATTTTAAACAAGGCATATAGACAATTTCTAAATTTTTAATACATAATATTTTAATCAGTAATCGAATAAAACGGAATGTCTACAAACATCAAAGAGATACAATTCAACAATCTCATATCATAAAACTCTTGACTTTGTTTTACTTTGCATTACCACTGGACAAAATCACAAGTCATTCAGAGTCATGCAACAATCATATAATGCAAATATTGAAATGATGCTCTACCTAAATATTTGCAGTATTTTGGATTTATTTTATTTTTTTCATTTGTCCATAAAACATTGACTGGTTTCTTAAACTGATCTATACTCAAGACGCTGCAGCAAGTAATACAAAAGCCCAGGCAAAGGAAATTCACAATGCTTTTTTATTTCAACGGGCTTGTCTTTGCGGTCTGGGCAAAAGACGATTGGCAAGCAGACATGCAAGGGCTATACCTGCCACCTGTATGAAAGCAAGGCCCAGGACTGTTGCTGCAATGTGAAAGACGTTGTCATTTACCAAGCTGAAGACTTTGCGGAAACAACCGTGAGCATGAATCCCTGCTAGCTCAATGTTCCTGCCTCCATTCTCTGGCAACGGTCTGTTACGGCAGCCTTTGCGTTTTATGCAGCAACTGTCTGGTAAAGATACAGCGGAGGAATCATTCCCCAAACTTCCAGTTAAGTACACAGCATCTTGGATAGCCCAATCGGACATTAGCCAATCACGCCAACCCTCAGCGCCACAGCACTCCAGCGCCCTCTGAAGGCTGTCAAGCGCGTCTGCGCAGCCCTCGTCTTCTCCATAGTCCAATACAGCTTTCTGAAGTCCGCTACGGAAACCTTCAGCGATGTCCTCCCTGTAGAAGAGCCCTGAGAGACCCGCCGCTAGTCCACCTATGAGTGTGACCAACTGGAAGAAGCCATAGACCCGCAGAAGGTAAGGAAGGTTGGCAGCCACTCCCAAGCATCCTAAAAAACCCCAGGCGGTCACAGAAGCACCTGTGCCTAACAAGATGATGGGCGCGCTAGGGTAGCGGTTCGCCGATAGTAGCATGTAGTCGGATAACGAAGCCTGCGCCCATATGCCCAGGGTGAAGATCGCAAGGCCTGCTGCCCAAAAAAGGAAGCTGAAAATCAGGAGCGCAAGGCGCAGCAAGGGCATGACTCCCACCGCCCGGCAGCACGGTGGGGCAGCTCCAACTGCAGGCACAGGGGGCGCCAGCGAGGCCTCTGAGCACAGCGATAACGAAAGACGTTGCTGCTGGTCAGCGTAATCTCGGGAGGGAGAGAGCAGATAGCCAGGGAGTGCTGAAGGCCGACGGGAAACAGAGGATGGAGCCGGTCGTAGAGGAGAAGACAGTCTTTGAGTAGCGTGCAACTCTCGCTCCCACTCCTTTGTACGGCAGGGACTTGCCCGAGCTGGCAGCGAGTCGTAAGGCGGTGCAGGGCTCATGGCCCCGTCTTTATCTACCACCATTTCACTCTCTCTCTTTTACTCTTCCCTTTGTTTCTCCTCACTTGAATAGATCCTTCCTCATTGCTCCCTCCTATGCTTTATGGCTGGTCATCAACCCACCAGTGCCTATTCACACCCTCATTTCACCATAAATCGTCTTTGGATGAACGCATGGCAGGCTTATCTTCGTCTGCAGCTTTTCCGCCCTCTCTCTGCAGTATTTCGATGTTTATTTGCGACATTTCTTACATTCTCTTGCTGCTGCAGTGGCCGTCTGCCTGTACTGCGTCTCTGACAATATGTGGGGGGAGGGAGGTTTGGTGATTATATGGCTATGATGCTGTTAACCCACACCACCCTGATCTCCTTCTGCTGGTGCAGGAGCCCCCGCTCAGGATCATAAATGTCTGTTTTGATTGATGTGTGGCCTTAATAGGCCTTTAATAATCCAATGTCTTTACAACACTGATATTGATTAGTTTTTAGATTAAATCTTATAGATATTCAGCACTACTCATTCATGCTATAGTATGTGTGTTTGTGTATATTCAAGGACAGATTTTATATATTGATTGTCACATTCTCTGGGATAAAAAAACAACAACAACATTTAAACAGCATTGAAAGAGTTCCCTTGTATGCTGACTTGTAGGCTGCTTTTCCATCTGCTCGCAAAAAAATTATTTATAATACATAATTCATTTTACATTTATAATAAATTTACATTATAGCACAATAATTATACATGTAATGCATACAAATGTAATACAGTTTAATTTAATTCAAATTAATTCCATTTGTTTTATTTTAAGAATATAATGATTGATATGTAGGCATCATTTATATATTTGTCTAAATAACATATTTGAAGCATTTAAGCACAAGCATAAGGAGGAAGATTTGCATACCTTTACTTTTTCTACTGATGTGGTCCATGTACTCCCGTTCATTCAAACCATGTAAAACTGCAAAATACAAAATTAACAGGCCTCACTACTCAGGTAAGCTGATGAAACATCCTCAAGCAACACAAAATTCTCTAACCTCCTCTCTTGACAGCTTATAGCAAAATTACACGATCCATTCCATAATACTTTTTTTTCTAAAAAATTAAGAACAATTTTGTAAGATATTTCGTTTAGACAAACAACTTACCTTGACTGAACCAAATTAACAGTTCAATAATATAGATAGCTTGGACTGATTATGTAAACAAAAAGATTTTAAAATTAATCAACAGTTGATATTTTTGTTTATCCTTCACTCTTTGTCACACACCAGCCAGACATTGACCTTTTGCATGCACACATAAAGATTCACACAGAGGAAACACTCAGTATCCCTCCTTAATGGTGATGATTATTCATATTTATAAAATATATTAATAGAGCAGTATCTCGCTCAACAGACGTTTGAAAAAGCTTAGGAAATGTGACTCCCCTTTTCTAGTGCACCAGCCTTCTCCGCCATAACATCATTCCACAGAAGGAGGAATTTATGTTTATCCCTCAAATTAATGTGTTTATGAATAGAGGTGCTTCTCAGAAAAGACATCTGTCAGTGAAAGGCAATGATGGGCTCTCCGAAAAGTGAGGGAACAGAACGTGAGAGAAGAGATGCAAGATTGTGGTTGATTGGAGACTATTTAACAATTCTAATGAATGTTTTCATTATAACTGTAGGTACTGTATCTTACAACTCATTTGAAATGCTATCAAGTTATTTTATCAGTAAATCTGAAATATGCAGCCAACGTCCTTTTGTCTTAATTTTTTTGTGCATTTGCTGCTACACTGTTTGATGGTACTTACACTTAAGTTCATTCCTTGTTTGACAAAGCTGGGCTTTACGTAACATCTCTATTGCGTTGTATCATTTAATCACTTGCAAAGATATAAATGGACCACTTTAAAAAAAAAAAAAAAACAGGTGGCAACGTAGGACACTGTATCCGCCAGACCTGATGCGGTGTGTGTCGTGCACGTCCAAACATAAAAAAAAAACACGCGGAATAAAGACTGACTTCCGGCTACTTCCGGTATCCCGCTCGCGCGTTGTTGTTCGTTGCTTCGGTCAACTTCACGACAGTCGTTCGCCGTTGGGTTTAACCGCTATTATGGTTTGAGTCAGTGACATAAAGCGTTGAGAGTTTGATTAAAATACAAATATAGATTTATTCTAACCTTAAATAATGGAGATCCTTAACGTAGAAAGTCGCGAGGCGGGTGAGTATTTTTTAGCTTGTGAGCTAAATGCTAAGAGAGTGAAGCTAGCACAACCAATCCTATTAAAGTTACTCACTAACTAGTTACCACAACTAAAACACACTTGTTTATATTTTTAAGAAGGGCCTGGTAAATGAAAGGTCTTATTTGTTATGTCATTTGCAATTATTGAAACTGTATTATTGTTGAGAAGTTTTTCTAAATAGTGTTAATTCTGAATAATGACAGTTAAAATACATTTTCTGATTATAGTTCTATTTGTATTACTAATTACAAGTTGTATGTAGTCATTCAAATAAAATTGAAGTTGTTTTAGTTAAGTTTCATTCTTAAATTTAAAGTTTCCAGCGTGCAAGTAAAGTTTACAGTTAACTTCTTCCTAAGAACAATAATTCTTTGAAACATACGACTTATACATTCGAATGTCAATTTAGTGCATCACAAGAACTTTTTCAGAAATATTAAGATCTCTTTATGTTATCTACTGATAATATAACTCACTTTACATTTATATGCACCATCTTTATTCTCCTCTTTTTCCCTCAAGCTCTCCCTCTCTCTGCCCTGCGTCTGGTCGTGCCGCCTCTTCGGCTGATGTCAGCGTTTCTATGGCAGGTGATTCAGCGTCGTAATGTGACACAATACGGGAAGCTGGAGCAATTTGTAATGCTGGTGACAGAGACCGTTCCAGACATAATGAGTCGAAGTCTGGTTAATAAACTTATCTTTCACCTGCGTAAAAAGGTAAATCTTATGTGAGCAAAATCCATATATATATATATATATATATATATGAACATGTAACGTGGGATTTTTTCTTTTAGGTGATCTTGGAGCTTTGCTTGAAAGATAAAATGCCAGATCTGTGGGTCATTCAGGCACATCTTGATTCTCTTCGAAATCTCACACATAAAGTATGAGGGTTTTTTTTTGTAATTGCACTAACCATATACAGAAATTCTATTTCAACAAGTTGTTGCAAAAAAATAAGTGTCTTGTTTCTTTGCTATAAATTTGATGCAGTGGAAAGATGTGGAAAGTCAAATCATCAATAACAAATTCATCAGAATGGTCCACGGCATTTTAGAGGACACAGAAAAGAAAGAGAATTTCATCCAGGTTAGTCGTTTGCTGTATTTTTAATATCTTTCCTCTTCATCTTTCTGTGAAATAAATCATGCATGAAAATTGGTTTTCCATGTTTCACCTGTTTCTCTGTCTTCAGCATGTCTTCCCTGTAGAATATGGTTCAGGATATGATGCCGTATTACAGAGCCTTGCATGGGAGTTCCTGTCTCGAGTGGAAGATCTGCTGCCAGTACCCAACCTTAAAGAGGTGTGTCCTCATTCAAAGATTGCATAATGCATTATACATAGAATGTAGATTTTTTTTTGGTCCAGTTACAACTTAAGTAGAGCAGGTAAAACATTCTGTTCATTCTTAGCAGTGCTCAGGACATTGTTAAATTCAAGGTAACTCTGATCTGAAATCTGATGACTTTCTCAGACAGCCTCACGGCTTTGTGGTGGCCTCTCGATGATGGAGGAGATTGTGCAGCCACTCTCAGATCCAGTGGAGATTAAAGATGTGCTCCAGCACTTCAAAACCAGAAGATTGCATGCAAAAAACAATGAGCACTCTCCGGGAGTTATCACTGAAAGTGAGCTTTACTGTTGCTACTGTACCACATGTGTTGGCATGTATTGAATAACTGAATTAAACACTGAGATATTTAATTCATATAAAACTTTATTATTTTAAAGGTGCAGTAAGCAATTTCTGAGAAACACTGTTAATATTTGCAATCAACCTCCCTTCATTGCTCCGCCAACAAAATGCACGAACACACAATGCAAGAGTGGATGTCTCTTTATCATAGCTGAAGCGATGCAAAATAATGCTTCAATGACACTCAAAACTGTCCTGTTACTATAGCCAACATTACAACAACAGTATATCTTGGTTCTGTAAAACATAGCAAAACCAATGTTACTCACAAATGGAGTAGAAAAAAATGCAACCGTGGCGTCTGTTTCAGTTCTTCCCGCTCAGGTCTCTCCAGCTCTGAAAAGCTTTTCTAATATGAATTCGAGTCATATAGCATGACCTGTCTTTTTCCAGTGATATTCCTCTGAATTTTTCTCTGTTTAATGTCTCTCAGACATCTCTCTTTCTACAGTCTTTCTTCAAATTTCCCTCTTGCTCTCTCTCTCTCTCTCTCCTCCCCCATCGTGAGTGTATTCACCCCCTACTGCTGATTGGCTAGTGTGTTGTGGTGCTCGGTCCGATCCACTTTCAACAGCATTTCTCAGACATTGCTTACTGTACCTTTAAGTTGTGACCTGAACATGTTTTTGTGAGATATCCACAAACACAAAGCTGTATTAGTTTTAACGGTATTATTAGAAAATATTCTAATGCTTTTACAAGGAGTTTTTTTCTTTTGGTCTGTACAGTGTCCATCCCTTCTACAGCTGAAGTAGTTTGTTTGCCTCATCCAATCGTACAAGAAACAGTCTCGCCTGCCCTTACCATTGAAGACGAGGAACCCCCCACTTCCATTGCTCAAGAGACAATTATCATGGAATCAGAAGGCACAGAGAACCAATCAGAATCTGATCACGCGGCCATTGCCATTATGAGCCCATCTCAGAGTTACACAGAAGAGGCTGAGCCTTTAGCTGACAGCGAGGAGTTCACAGCGATAGCTGACTCTGAAGAAGCAGAGGCTGGTTTCCAACAAGAAGAGGCACTTTGTGAAGAGAAAGATTCGGGCATCTGTGAAGTCCAGCAGATCTACCTCACCGCCGATGGCTCTGCTGTGGTGGTGTCAGAGTTTGAGAACGAGGGAGAGGAGACAACTCAACTGCAGTTCCTAGAACAATCCGAGATGGTGGAAACGTCTGGTGTGAGGCAAGTCAGCTTAGAGCAGTGGATCTCCGAATTAACTGGAAAGGGTGTCTCACTACCAGTTTTGCCTCCAACTCCTGTTGAGATTGTGAGGGAGGAGACGATCTACGTTCCTGTCATTGAAAGACCACCATCTGTAAAGTCCATCATTCACAGAAAGAGCAGTCCACCTCGAGCCGCTCTTTCCAAAAAGGCAGCGGCCGCTCCTTCTGAGTCCCAAACAATGCAGGAAGAGAAAAGACACACGTGTCCCGAGTGTCACAAAGAGTTCCGTTTTGAGTGCTTGCTGAGGAATCACATGCGCACACACACTGGGGAGCGGCCGTTCCAGTGTTCAGACTGTGGCAAAAGTTTCAGGTGCCTCAGCTTCCTGACGAATCACATCAAAACACACTCACTCGCCAGACCTTTCAAATGCTTGCAGTGCGTCAAGACCTTCCGCAAAAAGGCGGACCTCATCAAGCACATCCGTGTACACACTGGCGAAAAACCATACAAGTGTACCATCTGTGGAAAGAGCTTCTCCCAGGGCTCATACTTGAAGATTCACCGTGAATGCCACACCTCAGAGAACCTGCACCAGTGTCCTCACTGCGAAAAGAGCTTCCCGACTGCATTTAAGCTGTCCATCCACGTCCGTTACCATTCCATGGAGCGCTCATACCAGTGTAACCAGTGCGGGAAGAGTTTCATCTATGCCAGCCTCCTCCGAAGACACAAAGGTTATCATGCAGGAGAGCGCCAGTACTTGTGTTCAATCTGCGGCAAGTCCTTCGTCTACATGTTCGACTTGAAGAAGCACCAGCGCAACCACGAGAGACCCCGGCTCAAGATCCCGTGCACCCTTTGTCACAAGACGTTTGCGGGACCTGAGATGCTTAGGTGCCACCTGCGCATACACACCGGGGAACGCCCGTTCCGCTGCAAGATTTGTGGAAAAGCCTTCTCTCAGATCGGGAACATGAAGAGACATGAACGTGTGCACACGGGCGAGCGGCCGTTCACCTGTGAAAGATGTGGAAAGACTTACAAGCACTCGTCTCACCTGAAGAACCACATGCTCAGCCACACAGGTGAGCGGCCGTGGCAGTGCTCTCATTGCGGGAGGAGCTTTAAGTTCGCTGGGCCTCTGAAGAAGCATGAGAGAATTCACCTGAGCGAGCGAGGCAATCGCAGAAGAAACTACGACCAAACCCGTGGCCGTGTAAAACTAGAACCCAAAAGCCCTTGACTGAACATGCGAATCTGCAGATTTAAAATGACTAGATAATTTCATATCAGCTGATAATTACTTTAAAAAGGTTATGTTTTGTTTTCCAAACCATGCTTGTTTATGCAACCCATATTTGAAACTGCACATGGAAATACTTTATAAATTCGTACTTTACATAGTTGGTGGATAAATTTTACATAAATTTAAGTTGATAATTGAGTTCTTCAATCAAGAAGGCTTGTTGTCATAGCCATTGTGATGTCTGAATCATGCTGGTCAAGTCATTTCAACATACAAACAAATAAATAATCTGTTTATTGCACAGTAAAACGCCTAAGAACAGAATCAATTTGGGATTTAAAACTCACAAAAAAAAAAAAATACAAACAAAAAACAATTCTAAATGGTTGTCCACCTTGGACAATTTAGAAGCATATTGGATAAACTCACTCCTGAATATTGTCTGGAAGAGCTGTAACAATAACATTGTCCACTCTTTCACTATCACTGAGCAATGCAATGTGTATTTGTTCACAAACGTCCTTTACTGACTCTGATCTTAAAGGTTAGTTCAACAAAAAAAGATAACCTGTCGTTCATCTTCAAAAGACAAATGAAGATATTTTAATTAAATCAGATATTTCTGTCCCTCCATTGACATTCCATGTAGCTTCAAAAAGTTCATAAAGAGATCGTAATCTAATCCATATGAATCCAGAGTATTAGTCCTAGTTGTCTGAAGAGACTCGATTGCTTTATATGATGAACAGATTTAATTTAGGCTTTTATTTACTGGTGAACTTTTTGACCATCAAAGTGGTAGTTGTGTAGCTGTCAACGGAAGGACAGAAATCTCTCAGATTGGAATAAAGATGAATGAAAATCTGACAGGTTTGGAACGACATGAGGGTGAGTAAATTGTGACAGAATTTTCATTTGACCCTTTAATTTGGCTAATGCCAATACACATTGGGTACAAACTTTAATGGAGATTTAGATTTAGGCAATGACCTTTGGCATCATCCTGTGTAACAGTAACTTACATTTGTATAATATATATATATATATATTAATTTGTTAAATCTCGCAAATATAATTTAAAAGCAGATGCTTTTGTACAAAATGGAAATTCTTTTCAGTGTTCTTTTTTTTCATGTAGCACAAATTTGTTTCTTTTTATGATACAAATATACAATACAAATCCATTTTCTGGAAGTTTCTTTTTTGGAAAGATTATGCATTCAGATGAGAAATCAGTCTGCACCAGGAAGAATTCCATCCAGTTATTCCATTATGTTCTAAAATACTTTAGACAAGGGCTATTTGTTACAAATTCAGACTTGGTTTTTCTAATTCCTGTTACTACTTACTGTTAATTGTTCAGTAATAGAACTGTGGCTTCAGGATGCAGGTCATATCTTGCTATGCAAATCCAATTTCAAAGCCATCCCATTCCCACACTATTGAAGCTGCCAAGCAGCTGAGACTAATTACATTTCAGTGTTAGATTTTACCCTGTGAAAACATGACCACATGACAATAGCACCATTAGGCAAATGTCTTTCAGATGTGCATATATATGAATGCAGAGTTCAGAGAGAACCTGAACATCTAAGGTCCTGTATTTATGTTGCTTTCAAGTTCTTGCTTGGATTTCAGACAATTAAAGGTTTGTGTGTGTCCTTAATCCATCCTCCACAGTCCACATGACAGAAAATACCTCTGTCAGATCTGATTTATATTCCTAAGCTTAGATATACAGAAGAATTTGAGTCTTGCTCTCCCTCCAGAGGTAATTCAGGGGCACAAGTGTAGTGTGGTCAGACAGAGAAAGTGCAGTAACAAAATATGGTTGATCACCAACAAGTAAAATGTGTTTTTCTCAAACATACACTACCGTTCAAAGTTTTTAAATAAGTCTGAAATGAGGATGCATTTTCTTTCATGAAAAATATTCTAAAAACTAATATTGTGAAATAAAATTGTTAAAATTTCATACATTAAAATGTAAAATACCGGTTTTCTAGTTTAAAAAAAAATATATTTTTCAATGTAGGCTAATTCCTGTGATACAAGGCTTCAGTGTCACATGATCCTCTAAAAATCATTCTAATATGCTGATTATTATCAATGTTGAAAACAGTTGTGCTGCTATTTTTGTGGAAACTGGGATAATTTATTTTCAGGATTCTTTGATGAGTAGAAAATTCAAAAGAGCAGCATTTGTTTGAAATTGATTTTTGATTAATTTAATGTGTCATTGTTGAATAAGACAATTCATTTCTTTCAAAAAAGAATCGTTCAGACCCAAACCTTTTAAACGGTAGTGTATATTTCCTGGTAAAAACATTTCTTTGCATATACACTTGACATAATAAATGTGAAGTATGTACATTTTCAATGTTAAAATACGTTCTCCTCATTCTCCATTTGTAGTTTGATGCCTCTACGCACATTATTTTTGCTGTTCCTTTTGGATCAAATCAGGACAACATCTTTGCAGTTCAGAATCACCTGAGCTCTGTGCTTTTGCAGACCTGCTAGGGTTTTTTCTCCCAACTGTCTCTGGCTCCTGAGCCGTGGTGGTTTCAGTCTCATCTAGAGGGTACTTCTCAAATATTTTATTTAGCTGCTTGAAGAACTTCCACTCCACCTGCTCCCCTTCATTTCTATGGGTTGAGAAAAGAAAAAAGAAATATATACGTAATTCTTAAATTTAATTAGTATATTTTAATATTCCATTTTTGAGGTCAAAGTTGTTGTATCTACCTGTAATTATCAAGACACTGGCGGTAACTGGCCTTCAGTCTTTTAATCCTGGAGCGACACTGTTCGTCTGTCCTGCTGTAGCCCTTCTCAGCCATGACCAGTGCGATTTGCTGGAAAACAGGTTTGCGTTTGACGCAACCTTTCAGCCTCTCCTGGATAGGGTCGCTCCCCCAGATGGATATAAGTGTGTGTGTCTCACTGTCACCCCATGCCAGCTTCGGCCCGTCCACAGTCGGAGGTTTGGAGAGAGCTAAAGAGTCTGGACACGCAAACACATTTCACAGGTCCAGATGCATCACCTGCATATCTTACAAATTATATTCAAACTTTCTGATATCATGAAGAACTTATATAGAGATCCCAGTTGGAAAGGGAGACTGTGTACATCTACATTAATCCGGATACATTTGAAAACGCATCTTGTACCTTCCATCCACACTGAAATCATGCTCTCCAAAGTGGATACATTTCAAAATGCCTTTTCTGTGTTGTAGTGTTGACTGTGAAAATGGAGGTACGATGACACGTTTATACTAGTATGTGCCTGCTATGTGCTAAAAATAAATGTTAACTCTTTCCCCACCATTGACGGAAATTTCCGTAATTTGTGAGACAACGCTTCCTCACCATTGACGAAATTTTCCGGCTTTCAGAGTTTCATTATTTTCACTGTTATACGGTAGGGGGTGAGATTACAGATCTTCTAAAAGAGTACTAAATCTCCAGATCAAAAGACATGTGAAGAAGCAGCAGAAACAAACGATAGCACATGTAAGCAAATGTATATGCAAAATAACGCTATCATCAACATTAAACAGCATATAAATCAAAACTGCTTAAGTTACAGAATGAAATGTCGACCCAGAAAGTGTTATAGGACTGTGCAAGCTTTGGGGGTGTTGATATTATGAGATCTACCCAATTTATGTTTTGATCATCGTTCTGAATCTGATCCGGACGTAGTCTTTGACAAAAATGTTTTCTCAGCTTTTTGCTCAAAATGTTGCTTTTTTATGAAACTTACCCACATTCAAGTGTGGATTAAAACATTTTTTATGAAGCTAGAATAAAACACATTATACACACTGTTTAAAAGCAAAGGCTCTGTTCTTTCTTTTGATATATTGCATGTTCAGATTTTCATACAACAAAATATTCTGGGGGCCATGAAAATTTTGAGAAAATGATTTTAAAAAATGCTGCCGGTGGCTGGCAACTGTTTTCAAAAACTCTGGCGGGGAAAGAGTTAATTTGTACAATCTTCATATTTACATTCCTGCAAAGATGACAGAAAATTTCACATAAAGTCCTTCACATAAAAAAAAAAAAAAAATCAGTATACAGGCTTTCATAGACATCCAACGAAGGACTTGTTTTTTTAAGTTTCGTCACAAGCAGTTCACACATTAGCAATAAAAAATAGTGATTAATACATGAAAATTCTGACATACTTTAAGCTTTTTCCAACATTTCAGTTTGGACAAGAAACTTTTGGAAAACACTAGTGTGGACAAAGCATTTTGAAACTAAAAGTTTTCTAATGTATCTGGATTAATGTAGACGTGGCCTATGTTTACATTTATTAAATTAAAAAAAGAAGAGAAAAGAACATCATTTGCATGACCAATTTTCAGACTGATACCTGAATCAGAATCAGTTATGGATTCCAGCTCACTGATGTCCTGGTCATCAGATGTTCTGTCCTTTAAAATAATCTGCTCCAGTTGATCATAGAATTTACACTCCTCCCTGCTGAAAAACACAATAAAAAGTAGAAACAGTATTGAAAATAGTATACCTCTATGTTCAGAATAGCACACACGCAAACAGTACACAACTATTGAATTCTGAACATAACCTTTAAGAACTAGTCATCACAGACTATAACTCACTCACCCATCGTAGTAAAACTGGGACTTGAGTCTTTTTACACGCGAGTGGCATTGGACACCCGTTCTGGTGAAACCCAGTGCTATCATTCTCTTTGAAATATATCTGTATATGTGCCTGTTTTTCGGGCAGGACATGAGGCTGTGCTGCACACGGGCATCACCCCAGATATCCAGCAGGGCCTGCGTCTCCCGGTCGGACCAGGTCATCTTCCTGCCTGATTCAGATACGGCTAGCATGGCTGCTTGCTGGTATTCTGAGGAAGCACCAGTGGATAAAGAGTTTAGGTTAAATGAGAGAAATAAGAAATTATGCATTTTGCTTCAAGAAAATTAAGCCTATGATTTTTTTTTTTTCATTGTGACAGTATTTTCAAGATAGTTAAGCACAATTCCCATTACTGTAATGAAAAAAAACACTCATTCTATTCATAGCGTAAATGCAGAAATAAATTATAACCTATTGCGCTATTTTAAAGGTTACTTATTTTGTTTTGGAGTCTCCTACAATTGGTTTGAATACATCCAAGGTAAACAATTTTTTAAAAAAGTTTAATTTTCCTAAATTTAAACCAGAATTCATATTTTTTTTTGCGGGGGTGAAATGTGACCTTTGAGATTCACCCGAAACGTGAGTGAATGAGTGAACGAACAAACACACAACCTTCAAAGTCACAAACCTGCATCCTGATCATGTTCATCAAAGACATCCATGGAAAAGGCCTCATCGCCAAGAACCTGCTCCAGTTTATCATAGTATTTACAATCTATATTCTCTATGCCACATCTAGATGAGAACAATATGGACGACATTATTAAACCTCAGATAAAAAAAAAAACACTTAAACTTTTCATCCATTTTATTTTCAAAGTCAACAAGCAAAAATAAAGCCAAACTCACTTTTTCCTTTCGTAACACTGTCGGAAATTCTTTGTCAGGTTCTTGATCTTCCATCTGCATTGCTCTGGTGTTTTGAAGAATCCCTGACTGTTCAGTTTCTCTGCTATATTAGCAAACACGTGGCCGTTATGGACGGATCCTCTCAGGGCTTCCTGCACCTCATCTTCCGCCCAAATGTCTATTAGAGCTACAGTTTCAGAGTCTGACCAGGATGCTGTCTGGTCCACCCTGCTGCACGTGTCTGACAGAAGGAAACATGTTATTTTCAACTGGATTATTAGAAACGAGTATTATACAAAATAATTTTGGGGTTTCTATCAAAAACAAGTGTACTGTAATATAAACCCTTAATTCTATGTAATATGTTATAAAATTACACATATCAAATAATAAAATAATACACATTTCATATCTGGCACAGACGTTTACAGGGGTCCTATTATGCCCTTTTTCAAAGTCTTGATTTTGTTTTTGGGATCTACTAAAATAGGATTTCAAGCTTGAATGTTAAAAAAAAAACATTATTTTCCCCATATTTACATTTATTCATTTAGCAGACGCTTTTATCCAAAGCGACTTACAAATGAGAACAATAGAAGCGGTTAAACTAACAGTAGGACAACAATATGTAAGTGCTATAACCCCTCTCAGTTTAATTTTAGTGCAGTTTTTTTTTTTTTTTTTTTTTATATAGAAGAGAAGAGAAGAGAAGAGAAAGTGTTAGTTCTACTGAATCAAGTGCTGCCGAAAAAGATACGTCTTCAGCAGTTTCTTGAAAGTGGCTACTGACTCAGACAATGCCATATTTGACATTGTTGCAGCACCTCTCTTCCCAGTCTGTCAGTAACGCTCTCTTTAGTTCCTGTTTCTATAAAGCCCCTCCTTCTGAAAAGCGCAATGTGCTCTGATTGGTCAGCTGGACCAGTGTGTTATGATTGGTCAATCGCTTCGAGCATGTTGGGGAAATGTCCTACCCCTTACCATATCCGTAAGTTTCAACTCACTACTAACTAACTCAACCAGGCCCTGCCCCTTTTTTCTGTGTATGCCTTGGGCGAGAATTATTTAAATGAGGAATATTGTGACGTGTTTGTTCCTGGAAAAGAAAATTCAAGACTACAATCGAGGTGTTTCAGGGAGTTCAGAAACAGTGTGCACTGATACAGAGAAGAACTCCCTTTGGAGTGATTATTCGCTTTGTAACTTTGCAGACCTTTTTCATGCTCAAACAGCAACATTACACACTAAAGAAAGTTGAAAATGTACAAAAGCATAATAGGACCCCTTTAATAAAAGTACCTGCTTTCATGTCATTGTTGGGTTCATTATCTCCAGACACTTTGGATGAAGCTTTCTTTCGAAAAATGTCTTCCATCAGGTCATAGAACTTAAATTCTACACGTTCAGCTTCAGGTGAACTGCACAGAAAGAAAAAAAACACACTGAAAATATATGCACATTCCATTAAAAATTATATTTAGTGCTCAGGCCATATTCACAAATGATGTGCTAATGTGATTGCTCTCTTATTTGGTGCTGCATAACATAAATGTCTCTTGAATACAGTCGGCCACTGACCTGATGCTGTCCTTGCACTGCCTGTAGCTGATTTTGAGTCGTTTGATTCTGGTATGGCACTGCTCAGCGGAGCGCAGGTATCCGTGAGCGTTCAGCTTCTCAGAGATCTCTGAGTAGATGGGGCCGTTGTGAGGGCAACGCTGAAGGTTCTGCTGGACCTGTTCATTACCCCATAACTGTAGGAGAATCAGCGTCTCTGCATCGGACCAGGCGACCTTCTTTCTATCATCCATGCAGTTCATTGTGGTTTCTGTGTAGGTTGATCATAGGAGGACATGAAACACATGTATTAGACATTTTTGGACAATTATATCATGCTTAAAAATGTATTAATCCCCATCCATGCAAACTGAAATGGCTAGATCATCAAATCAAGCAGCATGTCTTCTTTGTGTTGAACATAAGTACAATACCATTCAAACGTTTAGGGTCCATAAGATTTTTTTATGCTTATGGGAAAAGTGTCTTATGCTCACCAAGGCTGCATTTAATTGAAAGAAAAAAAACAGAAAAATTGTGAAATATTATTCCAATTTAAATTAACTGTTTTCTATTTGAATATATTTTAAAATGTAATTTATTTCTGTGATGGCAAAGCTGAATTTTCAGCAGCCATTTCTGCAGTCTTCGGTGTCAAATGATCCTTCAGAAAACATTCTAATGATTAGTATTAAAATTGAAAACAGTTGTTCTGATCAATATTTTTGTGGAAAGTTGCTGTGATACATTTATTCAGTATCCTTTGATGAACAGCATTTATTTGTAATAGAAATCTTTTGTAACATTAAAAATATATTTACTGTCACTTTTGATTTAATGTGTCCTTGCTGGGAAAAAAAAAAGTCTTAAAAAAAAAAACTCTTACTGACCTCAAACATTAACAGTACACAAACAGTAGTGTATTACAAAACAATAGTCTACAGGAGAGTAACATGACCGAACAGATACCTATTTCCTGGTATTTGTACACCTGGTATTCGATGTCCGTAGACTCCTCCTCTTTGATCTGTGATGAGCATGACTCTTCATTAGCCATAATTCTCTCCATCTGTTTATAGAATTTAAATTCAACTTGCTCTTTTCCCTCAGTGCTGCAAAAAGAATTAAAGAATAGCACTTTCAGTTATTTAAAATAATACAACAGTGCTCTGTAAATTAAATTATATTCACTAGATTTTTTTTTTTTTAAGTGACCTGAAGTTTTGCTTTTCCTCTATCAGGACTTTGTTAAAAGGTTAGTTCACCCAAAAATTTCAATTGTGTCATTAATTGCTCACCCTCATGTCATTACAAACCCATTTTGGATTAAATCTGAGAGCTTTCTGTCCGTCCATTGACAGCTAAGCAACTGACACTTTGACACTTCATAAAGAGATCGTAAAACTAATCCATATAGAATCGAGCTGTTTAGTCCAAATTTTCTGATGAGCCTCGATCGCTTTATATGATGAACAGATTGAATTTAGGCTTTTATAGACTTTTAAAGCCTTACGGGTTTGGAACGACATGAGGGTAAGTAATTAATGAAAGAATTTTAATTTTGGGGTGAACTATCCCTTTAACAATGATGTCGAAGATGCTGAAGCACTCACTGTTTACTCTCGTGAGACTGTTTGAAGCACAGCTTCAGTCTTTTCACTCTACTTTGACATTGCTCTGCTGTTCGGACGTAACCGTGAGCGGCCATCTTTTTGGAGATCATGGCAAAGATGTGTCCGTTCTGGAGAACCCCTCGCAGCTCCCGCTGGGTTTTGTCTTCTCCCCAGATCCTGATGAGGGTTTGCGTCTCCAGGTCTGTCCATGGGATATTCCTGGTGCCTTGAGAGGGTGTAAGTGAAACTTTGGTCAACAATACAGCAACTCTAATATAGTTCATACGTTATGTGCAGAAAATGTTAGTACCCTCTAGTCCAACATGACCAAGAACATCCCAATCAGTGTCGTCTTCTGCCTGCTGTTCTGAGGATTCTTCTGGAATGGTGACATCATTAATACTTTCTTCCTGTTCTGTACAGTCTTTACGGCAGATAATTTTCTCCAGAACATTATAAAACTTCCATTCCGGTCTTTCTCCTCTCACACTGCCAAACAAACACAGATTCAGTTCAGTTATAATCAAAAAAAAAAAAAAAAATCAGAATTCAGTTTTTAAAGGTTTCTTACATTTAAAAAATTTATATACACTACTGTTTAAAAGTTTGGGGTCGGTAGGGTTGCATTTATTTGATAAAAAATACATTAAAAATGGTAATATTGTGAAATACCGTTACAATTTAAAAGAAATGTTTTCTATTTGAATGCATTTTAAAATGTAATTTATTCCTGTGATGCAAAGATGATGCAAACAATTTGAAATAGAATTTTTGTAACATTATGAAATGTTTCTTTACTGAAAGATAAAAGATTTAACTTCTTTAAAAAAATAAAAATTATAATCTGACGGACCCCAAACTTTTGTAGTGTGTAGTGTAGTGTAGTGGATGTCATGTCTATGTCTAATGTAAAAAGTTTTTTTTTTTTTTTTTTTTTTACTATACACACAATTATTTGTTGCAAAATGGATGGCCCTAAAATATTTATTTAAAGTCAACATTAAATAACATTCACAATAATAACAATAAAACCAAAAACATTCATTAAGGTAGTAAACAGAGTCTATCTTGATTTCATGTCAACTTCAAATCAGGGTTTTTATCATTAAATAAAACTATTAAAAACATTTATTTTAATTGAAATAAAATAAAATATAAAAATTTGTTAAAAAACTTAGAAATGTTGCCTTGACAATAAACTGAAAGTTTCAGTATAAGCACTAACATCATTTACTAGAATAGAAATAAATAAAACCTTAAACTAAGTCAAATTAACATGAAAACTAAAATATAAAAATAAAAGCTAGCTACATTACTAAACTATAACAAAACCTAAAATAACACTTTCTGAATTAACTCACGTGTTTTCATGGCATTGTCGAAAGCTCATTTTTAAGCGCTTTATCCTGGTGTGACACTGCTCTGCTGTTCTGGTAAACCCTCTCTCGAACATCTTCTTAGAGATGAGGTTAAAAATGTGTCGGTTGCGGGCACAGTCTTTTAGACTACGCTGGACGCTGTCTTTCCCCCATATGTCAATGAGACAGAACGTTTCTTCCTCTGACCAAGGAACTTTTGAAGCATCTGAGGTCTGGTAGGAAGATTCTTCTGGGTAAATAAAGCAAAAAAGCATGTAAATCAGCTCAGTTGCTCATTTTATCATTATTAAACTAGATTTTTAGCAGTGCTGGCACAAGCTAAAGTCATCTTCATGATGCTAAGGTGTCGTGGGTAGAAGCTAAAGTGTAATACTTTGCATGAAGCCTTAGCATGCACCACTAATAAATGAAAACAGTGGAATTTAAAGTGAAGATTTGAAAAGGAACTATTATGGCCTTTTACAAAGTCTTGAGTTTCAGTTCAGAAACTGATATAGAGAAGAACTCCCTTTGGTGTGAATTTGTAACTTTGCAGACATTTTGCATGCTCAAATAGCAACATTACACACTAAAGAAAGTTGAAAGCATAAAAAAGCATAATAGGTCCCCTTTAAAATGAACTGACCTGTGTATGCCCCCAAATGATTGATAAATGTAAACTCTCTGGACACTTCTGCACTGTCGTCTCTTTTCCTTTTAGAGGATTTTTTCGAGGTTTTTTTGGTGTGTGTCTGATTCAGCTCTTCACAAATAGAGCTGTCATCATAACTGTTCCTCTTTTCTCTAGATAGGGCACCCATGATTGGCCAGTTTTGATCATTATCATCATCATCCTCTTCATCTTCTCTCTCTGTATCTATTTTGAATTTTCTCTTTTTAGACTTGCAGCTGGGCGTATCCAGATCAGTGTGGCAATCATCTTTGTTTTGACCATCAAAATCGGCTCCCGATTCAGACGGGTCGCCAGATTCTGTGTGATCGCTGGATATGACGACTCGAACCAGCGGAGGGAGAGATTGCGATGAAAATGTAAAGCTGTTATGAGCTGCAACAAAGAGACAAATTAAACCTCAAATTACAAATCCAGGTGTCGGATGGACGTGATATATAAGTAAGAAAGCTGAACAAAAATGCTTCTGGGGAGAGTAATTAATTGAAAGTAGTAGGGCAGAATACATAAATGTTCAAATTGTTGCATTTTTGATTGCATTTTTAAAGTTTAGTTACTGTCACCTTAATGAAACTGTCCCTTTGTAATTCCGGTTTCATTGGTGAAACTGTTCTATTGTCATTTTGACTGCATAAGCCATTTGATTTACAACTGCAAACACAGATGCAACTGACTGAAACTGTCACAGAGTTGTTTCTTGTATTCACATAATGCATCTGATATAATCTTTTACATAGATATGGCACTGTTTAACGTAAAAACTTCTACCATTGTCCTGAAGATTTCCATTGGCTCTGTGGCGTTCAAGCAGGGCCTTCATTTGCTTCGGGACCGAAACTGAATGAATGCATTCCTCCAGAAGAGACGGACAGGCCCTGAGCCAAGAGACCGTCTAAGGAACAAAATCAAACCAATGGTAAGAGAAATAACACAGTAAGTGTTCTTTACTGATGTTTCTTGATGTACCTGTGAAAGGTCTGGGACTGAAATCATCCGGTCCAGCTGTAGGAGGAAGTCTTCCATAAGTTCCTGTAGGGTTTTGTCAAATTTGGGTCCGTATTCATCTGGAAAAATGTTCTGTTAATTGCAATGGGTAAAAAAAAAAAAAAAAATCATTGCACAGGAAGAAATACAGCAAAAACCAAGTGAGTTGTGTGACCATGTTTATGTGTTTGTAACCTGGAAGAAATGCTCCCTCTCTTTGGGGTTGCTGATAAGAGTCCGAATGAGGTCCAAGAAGCAAGCCTCAGATTCCTCCATGTCTTCATCAACAACCTGCAGAAATATGCTTGAATTTTAACCTAAGCACAAACGTGATGTTTCAAGCAGACAACATGCGTTGTCAACAACCTCCAGATGTGGATGATTTGACCTCACTGACCTCATCACTGTTGACACAAGGAGCACGGATTTGATCAATGTGCAGCTGAATTTCTTCCAGGTTGACCTGATGTTGACCCCGACACAGCTCCAGAAGACGCTGTGCAAAATAACAGATACAATACTGGAACCACTGTCCTCTTTAGAAACTGAAAAGCCATTAATCTTTTACATGGTGGATCCTAAATGTTATGTTGTTGTGTACTGTGACATTTCGTACCCTTGCTCTTAAGCCAAGTATAAGCTGAGCTCTTTGATGGTCATTTAGAAGCTCTGGCACAGTCTCTGTCACCATGATTACAAACTCCTCCAGCATACTATAGTGCTTCACCTGTCTCTGTTCTGTCACCTGCCACATGGCTGCAGACAGTAACCTCAAGGGTGGAACCATGAAGCTAATCAATGAAAGAGGGTCTGATAAAAACAAAACAAAAAAAAGAAGACCATTAGGAACCCATTTTGACTTTATAGTCTGGATTTAAATTAGCCTATTTTATAATTGCATTGCCATTTTAAAATAAATAATTATAATCTATTCCAAAAAGACATAGGATAAGAAATTACTCACCTTCGATTTTTGTCCACAGAGCTTCCATTGTTTACAACTTCAATCAACTTTAAAAAATCTCGAAATTAATATTTTAAAAAGCAGTGTAACATAATTTAGAAGAAAGGCGCTATAAAACGGAATACTTTTTAATTTCGATGGGCTTTCCACCTGACCATTTCGTTCGTTTCAAAACACTGGACTGAACGACGCAGATTCCGGTCTAATCCGCTTTGGTCTGGTCTACAGTGTAGTTCGAGTTCTCCCTCTGGTGGTGCAAAACCACATTATGCTAGTTTTGCGCAGGCCATCTCACAAACCCAGCATCCAAACCATTCTTTCGACTCGCGATTGTTTTGTATGCTTTTCACAGTTAATATGGTTTCATCTAGACTGGTCTGGGACAAGGAGTTCAGAAACATTCTGGATTTATGTTCATATTTTAAAAATAGAAAAACTTACAGGCTTTTATTATGAAGGATGTGGCCATGGATTTAGCTCATGAATACTTAATTTGATCATACCAACGTTGCTTTGGTAACCTTCCTGGAGTTTCGATCACGTGTTCTTATTAATATTCATAAGCCACACGTCTACGCCTGCCATTGGCGAACGTTACGTAATTGACGTTCATGAGTCATATAATTTATAATTCAGCAGTTTAAATCCCTCTGTTGCTTAAGTATCAAGTAAATAATATAATTAAATTATTATCTACCATTATGGCACTAAAGATTGGACAACAATATAAATGTTGGATTTTGTATTGTATTAAAAGAAAATATAACTAATGTCATTTTTACTACTGCTCGTTATATATTAACACAATGTTTGTTATTAAATGACTTTAATTAGAATTATACGGTTTAACAAAAAAGAAAAAATTAAGATCGGAGACTTATTCTTTTTTTTTATAAACTACTTTATTTCAAATCTTTATGTGATATATGTAAGATTTAACTACAACTAACTTCACTAAGTTGGGTGTCTTGTAAAATCCAAAGGTTAAAATAGCACCAAAGACAAAATCCAAAAAACATCATTTCACATCATACATCGTCGTAGGTCAAGGTATTTTACAAGCTTCAAAACATTTTGTTATAATCACAGCACTGAGACAATGTTTATTACAGTAGTTTGGCAGGGTGTTGTCATTTAGATAACAGGAATTTTCCTAAAACATTTTAGTGTCAAAACAATCTATCAATCCGATTTCAAGAGAGCAATAACAGCATATTGGCAACTACTAGCTGGCCTCCGTTACAGCTGCAAAACTTCAAGACAATTTGATTAACCAACCATGACTTTTTTAATATATGTCTGCAGCACACATATTCCTATATTTGGACATGTATTTGGTATTTAGAAAGAAAATGCTAATCTAGGACTAATAGGACTGACTAGACCCTTCTGTGTATATGCATGAAGCACTAAAATGTGAACTCTCTTTATGGAACTGAATGGTTGTGGCCCTGAGAAACCTCACCTACACAGCCAAATACAGGGTAATAGGACAGTGGTCACTTCCCATGGCCGTGTTTCGGATCTTGCTGTCACACAGACCCGGGAGCAATGCGGCCGACAGCACAAAGTAGTCCAAACGCCAGCCGACGTTTTTGGCTCGACAGTTCATCATGTAGGTCCAGAAGGTGTAGGCATTGGCTTGCTCCGGATACAGTTCCCGGAAACTGTCGGTGAAACCGGCCTCAAGAAGCTGAGTGAAGCCCTCACGCTCCTCTGGGGTGAAGCCTGCATTCTTGCGGTTACCCTTGGGGTTTTTAAGATCGATCTCTTGGTGGGCCACATTCAGATCGCCACACAGCACCAGGGGCTTGCGCTGGTCCAAGCTGCTCAGGTAGGCCCGGAAATCCACGTCCCAGGTCTTGCGGTAGTCCAGACGCACCAAACCACGGCTGGCATTGGGCACATACGCCGTGACCAGGAAGAAAGATGGAAACTCAGCAGTGATAACTCGACCCTCTTTATCATGTTCCTCTTTACCTATTTTCAAGCAGAAAGAGATATTAAGCTTACAGAAAACTGGAAAAGAGTGTAAAAAATTTGATGATATTTAACACTTTTATATTTTTTCCATGAAAAGAATAGCAACTGATGAATAATAATAATAATTAAAAAAAATGTTTTTAAATCACACAGCATAAAGACAAATGTGGGTTTCCAGGCATGTGATCAGCTCTGGACAAAAAAGTAAAACCAATTTCTCTCCAATCCAATCTGACAATATAATATTATTAAAATTATAAGAATTGAACTAATAAAGAAGAAATATATTACTGTCGCAACAATATTATTGTACTACAAAATAACTAGTATTTAAAGCTGCAGTCCGTAACTTTTTTTGTGTTCAAAATGTACACAATTTATATAATAAGCGAGTACATGATGAATCCATTTTCCAAACCGTGTTTTTATCTTATCCTGAATCACTATGGTACACCTATTATAATAATAATAATAATAAGTGTTTATATTGTGACTATTGGTAGCACTGCGGAGTAGCCCAGCACTTGCATGACTCGTCATAGACATAAACAGAGAGAAGTAGCTCCGGCTACAATGTTCTTCCGCAAGACGCATGCAGTTCTGTTTATTATCCGCTAGAGCGCCACGTTACGGACTGCAGCTTTAAAGGGATAATCCGACCAGAAATTACAACTCTGTGATTTTTATTCACCCTCAAGTTGTTCCAAACTTGTATGTATTTCTTTCTTCTGCTGATCACAAAAGAAGAAAGATTTATAACCAAACAGTTTCAGTTCCCATTGAGTTCCATTGTATTTTTTTCCATAATATCTTCAAAATATCTTTTTACGTTACCCAGAAAAAATAAATACATACAGGTTTGAAATGGCTTTACATTTTTGAGAATTTTAATTTTTGGATGGACTATCCCTTTAATGGCTCGTTTCCACTGAGTGGTACGGTACGGTACAGTTCGGTTCGGTACGCAATTATTTGCGTTTCCACTGTCAAAAGTTGTGAATGGTACCAAAAAGCCGAACCGTACCGTACCACTTTTTGGGTACCCTTCCGTTGGGGTATCTAGCACAGTGGTACGGTACTAAAAGGTGGAGCTAGACTCACTGCAGAACGGTGATTGGTTGACAGAGTATCGTCACTTGCACGTGCTACAAGGGCATTAGAAACATACAGTTGAAATATACTACTGTTATTGTGTCACGAAATGTAGTTTTAAGAGTTTTTCAGGCGAGAAAGTAGTTTTTTAAAGCTCAAATCTGTGGTTTATTTATAGATTTATGATAATTTGAAGATCCATTCCAAGCAATCACCGGACGCTCGGCGCTCGTGCACCCCACCTGGAGCAGCCTTTCCCCGGCTAGTCATTCTGATGTTTGCCGCTGACTCTGACGTCTCTGTAGTGGTTAAACATGAGATATAATTCGTCTTGTACAGACCTAACAGGCGATCTTTGGTCTCGTGAATCTATAATTCGTTCCCTGGCCAATAGTTTTGGCAGAAAGCTAAGTGAAGTTTCATATATTTGAGCGCTGAATTTGTATATTTGACTGAATTGTTTGCTTTGTTATTAAAGCTTTACTGTATATCTTTTTGTACCTTTTACTTATACTTTTATAATGGCTATTATTGATAAAACTGAAATTCAACAAAAATAGATAGTTTTGTCATTTTTTTATTTTATTACAAGATCATCTGTAATGTTGTTTATTGCAACATTTGTACCAATGCAATATGCAATACATTGCCTGGAATATATTTAATATTTTTAAATTTAAACGAAAAGAGGCAGGGTTGTGTTTTATATTTAGTTTTGTTATAAATATAACGTTACATACATGCAGTGAATATAATCAATAGGCTATGCGTTGCCTGAACCACATTTGTGTCCTTATAATGTTTAAAATGTATTTAAATTAAATCGAAAAGAACCAGAGTGGTGTTTTATAACATATTTCGTTTTATTGTTGCCTAAAATGTACATAACCAGAGTAGCAGAGCGAGCTGAGTGGCGCATTCAAGAACGCGCTGTTCCATCAGCAGAATTACTGGACTCGCGTCCTCGGGAGTCATCTCCTGAGTCGGACTTTGCGTGGCTACTTGGTATTGAGAAACGCGTAATGCCAGCGCTTGTTACTTGTGACAAACATGCCGAGAAGCAAGAACAAGATCTGCTGTCTGTCATCCATTGTTGTTTACTATGTCGCTTTCTGACGTCGATCGCTTCTTTCCGGCAAACACCACGCCTATCAAGTAAGGGTACTGTTGGCAGTGGAAACACTAGCCGGATCATGCTGTACCGACCCGACCCGTACTGTACTGTACTGTACCGTACCGTACCGTACGCCTCAGTGGAAACGAGCCATTATACTACTAAAAAATAATAATAATACGTTTTTTTTACAAGAATAACATCCCTTGTAACACTTACCAATACCATAGGTGACACTGAGGGGTTCGGTCTTGCAGAGCATGGCCACTCCACTGTAACCCTCTTTATCCTCTGATCCAGCCCAATACTTGTGTGGATACTCGGGCATTTCAGTGATATCAGACGGCAGGGCTTTCTCAGCGCACTTGGTTTCCTGCAGACACAGCACGTCTGGGTCCTCCTTACGTACCCACTGCAAGCAGACAACAACAAAGGAGTGGAAAATGGTCCATTTCGACAGAATAAAGTGGGTCGCACACCGGACGAGAAGCGCAGCGCCGCGTCGCGCCACGTCTAGGACAACTCCAGGTATCGCACACATTCTAATCGCGCGAGCACAATTTTTAATCAACTCCTGGTAGAAGAGCTGCACGATGTGTGTTTTATCTTGATTTATTATTTATTTTTTTATGTTCATTGAATAATAGCTGATGTTTGAACGTTAATCAAGTAAAAGTGTCTATCATGTTGAGTCTGTTATTTTGTTGTAACGTTATCCGTTGTCTAGGGAACTATGTCACATAATACAATAGTATTTATTTAGCTAGCGTTTAGCTAACCCGAGTGAAAACAACACGGAGTGAAGCCATGTACATTAACGACGATTTGAGACAAATAAATGTAAATTTAATATAAAACTATGCAAATGGCGCTCTGTGGCGCGGCAGGGTTTTGAACAAGGTCCTGAGCCGTAGCTGGGCGCCGCGGACAGACGCCGAATGGCGCCGCCGGTGTGTGTACACTCATAGAGAATAATGTGTTAGAATTTTAAAGACCAGGCGCTGCGCGACGCGGCGCTGCGCTTCTCGTCCGGTGTGCGACCCCCTTAACACAAATACTACATAAAGAGACAGAGATGGGTTAGAGTGTTCAAGAAGGACCATAACAAACATGTAAAACACTATTGTTTTAAAAGTGCCCCTTTTACACTTTTTCGTATATTACCTATCATGTAGTGTGATATAAAGCTGTTTACGAATATAAAAGCGCAGCAAAGTTTCAAAGATCTAAGGGCAGATAAATGGAGTTATTGTCTCCCAAACGAAAGAACCAATTCTGAACTGCCAGAAACATTTAATCATTTAGCAGACGCCTTTGTCCAAAGAGACTTACAAATGAGGAATAAAGCAAGCGAGTCATTGTGAAGAGGATGCATATATAGGAATATATCTCAGGACACTGACTGGATGAGGAACAAGAAGATGAAAGGGCCTGATCTTCCTGATGTGGTGCAGTGCAAACCTGCATGATCGAGCGGTCTTTGTAATGTGGTCTGTGAAGGTCAGCTGGTCATCAAATATTACTCCCGATCTTGATGGGGTGATTGAGGATTGTGGCGAGCAGGACGAGGCCGAGGGCCGTGAGAGAATGGCGCGAGGCCGGTGGCGTGATTACTGATGAGCGACACCTGCGCGACGCACCGGTCTCGCGCCATTCCCTCACGGCCCTCAGCCTCGTCCTGCTCGCCACAAGGATGAATCTTGCTGCATGGCGAAATTGTGCTGTAGAGACGGATTTGCAGGGAAGACGAGAAGCTCAGTCTTTGCCAGGTTGAGCTGCAGGTGATATTCCTTCATCCATGCCAAAATGTACTGTGGGATCATCTGGTTGAAATGAGAGGAAGAGCCGTGTATCATCAGCATCGTAATGGTAAGAGAAACCATGTGCCTGTATGATGGGTCCCAGATGTGGTGTAAATGGAGAAGAGGAGGACACTTCATATGCACTTTCGGTCTTGTGGACTTACAATGGCTGCCGCGTGCGCGTGTCCGTTAAGTCCATGAGACCGTAGGGTGTCCCATGTGTCATTTTAGGTCGAAGACCGCGAGTGCTTAGGGTGCCATTTGGGACAGGGCCTAATAGGAGTTACCAGATCAGTGGGCGAGGCCATAAACAGAGGGGTGTTTACGACCACGTTACCTGATTTTCCCACACACAGTGTGGGTAGGGTTTAAGGGTGGGGTCAGGTGAAGCGCATCATTTTCATTGCATGATTTATAAACACCCACAAATTTAGAAACGCCCACTTTTGTTCCACAGAGACCCAATACTTGGCCATCTGACCAATCAGAGCAGAGAAGACCTATCACAACAGACTGGGCTGTCTGACCAATCAGAGCAGAGTAGGGTCTCAGAGAAGAGAGGTTTAGAGAGGCTAAATCCTTGTGAGGAAAAAGCAAATAAAAACGTGAGAAAAAAAGTTCAGGTGCTTTTTGACCTAGGATGCATGAAAATCGATTGAAGGAGACTCTAAAACAAAATTATGAACCTTAAAATTAGCATTATAGGGGCACTTTAAATGTTGAATGCATGAATGCATATATGATCTCTTACATCAAGGCCATTCTTTTTGACCCATGCCCGCAGACCATCCACATTCCAGGAGGTGATTTTCATGTTGGCTGCACGGTCATCTTTACTGGTCATCTTATCTGGAGGATCTTCATACAGAATTGGGGCCTCTGGCTCTTTCCCTTTTTTCTCTTTCTTTGCAGGTGCTGTGACAGAAAGGTTAATGTTATCTGATGTAATCTGTGAGGATGCCAGCTCTTCTTCTTATATAGGTTTTAAAACACTGTACCAGTTCCATTGCCAGTCTCCCCATCCACAGCTTCCTCGTTCTTCTTGGCTCTTTTGGGCATGTTTACAGTTGTTTTAAGACCACACACACGAAAGAAACTGACGGCACACACACGTACACCTACAAGAGAGGACATGCGCAATGGAATGTGTAAATGTTCAATGAATCGTGCTCTGCAAGCTATGCACCCGTCTACAACAAAGACCGTAAGAGCGTAATTAGTGCGAACACAAGCGATCAAAAAACTTACATAAACTGCATAAACCAAAATGCATATGCTTGCAGTGTGCTGAAATAACGAACGAATATAAATTCTAAAATTGACTTAACAGTCGGTAAATTGGCCACAGAATGCGGCCTGAATGAATGAAACAATAAGAACCAACTTCTCGCACGCTCAGATGTTGGACATGTTTACATTGATCGAGCTGAAAAATCTTTAAATATAAATTTGCATTCCATTATATACAGATATCTCTTTCTTACCTAACACTTTAATCTTTAGTTGAGATTACACTGATAGCTCAATCTGAGCAGGACTATGAACTACTCTACACGGACTGGCACGACGCTTTCTGCAGTGTGGATGAGGCGCACGTTTCCCCATTAAGAGGTGCCCGAGATATTGCCTGACTAAAATAAGTGTAAAAAAAAAATGAATACCATACATTTATTTTCAGTAGGCTACATTAGAAAGGAATTAAAAAATATATATATATATTTTAAATACATTCATATTGCTTTAAAAAATGTATTATCCCACTTATATCCATCGATTTCATCCAGGCATATTGTGAAAGCCCTTTTAACTGTTGTTATGGTCTTACAGCCAACGAGTGTGTGGTAAGTGTGAAGAAGATGTGGAAATTAAGAGATTAAGCAAGTCAAAATTATAATTTTTAGTATATGCATTAGTATAATTAACCAAACCCATGGTAATCCCGACATCTTAATCAATATTATTAATAACCAGACTCTTTTATCCAACAGCATGCGCCACAGAGCTCCGTGACAGCCAGACATCAGCAGAATTAATTAAACTCCATTTATATAATATACAGTTAATGCAATACCTATATATGTATAAAATCAAGATTAAGTGTATATTTTAAACCTGTTCGTTTAATATTACATTCACAACATAAGAAGAGCACTTTTGCAGGACTTAGCCTACATTAAGACTTGAATTTTGAGAGAAAAAAAAGGAATGTAGTATTTTTTTTAATCAAATGATTCCTGTTTCATTCTCAAAGAAGACACAATGACTGTGGTGATTGGATTTGAAGGCAGTGCTAATAAGATTGGTGTGGGTATCATCAGAGATGGGGAAGTTCTGTCAAACCCCCGGCGCACGTACATCACCCCACCTGGCCAAGGTGAGCTCATCAGACCTTAGCAGTCAATCTTTAACTTTAGTGAACAGTGTCATTTTATATAAAAGGTGCCACCATTATTTCTTAGTACTATTTTATTATTGCTTTCTTATGATCTTCTCAGGGTTCCTACCTGGCGAGACGGCCAAACACCATCGCAGTGTGATTCTCACTGTCCTCCAGGAGGCGCTTGATGAAGCTGGGCTGAAATCTGCAGACATTGACTGTGTGGCGTACACTAAAGGTGAATGGTTTTGCACTTACCTGTAGAATACTGTGCATTTTTCCACAGTACTCCGGTCATCAAATATCTCTGTTGTACAGGGCCAGGAATGGGGGCCCCTCTGGTGACAGTGGCAGTTGTGGCCAGGACAGTCGCCCAGTTGTGGGGCAAGCCATTGCTGGGGGTGAACCACTGTATTGGGCACATAGAAATGGGCCGTTTGATCACCAATGCCCAAAACCCCACTGTACTATATGTGAGCGGAGGAAATACTCAGGCAAGAATTGAAAAGTCTTACACATTGAACAAAACATTTGTTTTTTATAATTAGTATAATATATACTTTAATATATAACATTTACTATAATATCAAGTGCAGACAAGTCAATATTATATATCCTTCTTCATTTCACTCCTTGAAAGAATTACATTGCAATTCTCTTCAGGTTATTGCATATTCTGAACGACGTTACAGAATATTTGGAGAAACTATCGACATTGCTGTGGGAAACTGCCTGGACCGGTTTGCCAGGGTCATCAAGGTCAGTGCTTAATAAACTTCGAAACACATATGTAGAATCTTATGTTTGTTTGGTTGATAACCTTGTAGGAGGATTGGAAAATATATTTTGATGATTTGGTTTGTGTAATTATAAGATTTTACCTGTATTCACAGATATCAAATGATCCCAGTCCTGGATACAACATTGAACAGATGGCAAAGAAGTAAGTTTCCATGCACTTTAATGGTTCGTGATCAAGCATTAAATATCCAAATTGTGTAAAAGCATTTGGTTGATTCATGTAAATGTATGTATGCATTCTTAAGGGGAACCAAGTTTATAGAGCTGCCATACACGGTGAAGGGTATGGATGTGTCATTTTCTGGGATTTTGTCTTATATAGAGGTGAGATGAATTGCTGGGAGAAGCATGTCTTTTGTTTCTTAAAATTCTGTTTGCAGTTCTATAAAAAAATCTTATTTTCCCTCAATAATTTTGTTCACATGCAGGACGCTGCTCACAAAATGTTGAGTACAAGTCAGTGCACACCTGAGGATTTGTGTTTCTCCCTACAAGTGCGTATTTGAACCTATGCTCATCATGCTTCCAATAAGACACACATTAATTTATGATTATGAGAAGTGACTAAAAATAGCATGCGATTGACAGGAGACTCTGTTCGCTATGCTGGTGGAGATCACAGAAAGAGCCATGGCTCACTGCGGCTCTCAGGAGGTTCTGATCGTCGGCGGAGTCGGCTGTAAGAGCTACACATGAAATACACGTGTGTTTAGTCTTATTGCAGGACTGGGTCTCTGCATTGCAGGTTTGTCAACATCTGAATGCGTGCTCTTTTGTAGGTAACATGCGTCTGCAGGAGATGATGGGGGTCATGTGTAAGGAGAGAGGTGCTCGAATCTTTGCCACGGATGAGAGGTGAGAAAGGATCGCCTTCTTTCGGGATGTCACTGCCGAAAGAACTCATGATAGCTTGTTCTCATAACATTGAGTCAGTGTCATGGTTGTAAATCTCTTCATGTGATATCGTGCCTTCAGGTTTTGTATAGACAATGGAGCAATGATTGCACAGGCCGGTTGGGAAATGTTCCGCTCGGGTCACGTCACAGAGCTGTCAGACTCCTGGATTACACAAAGGTAAACAATTTCACAAATAACCATCACATCCTGAAGCTAGGCATTCAGTTGATAAAACGTTTTGCTTTGTGCATGTTTTTTGCTTCCCATAAAAGATAACAGTGCTATTTTGTCATTAGGCTACTGATTTTTCCATTGCATGCTGAGATTAAATACAGACCCGAGATAACAGTCGTTTCTCTTGTTTAACTGTGACTGTGATCATTCATTAACAGTCTATTGTGTTTTTCAGGTACAGAACAGATGAAGTAGAGGTCACATGGCGAGACTGATGTTTTTGCTGCAACTGATTACTTATCAATATAATTTGCACTAAATGTCTAGTTGTAATTCTTTTTTTTCAATAAAGTCCATGATCCCATCATTCAATATTCATTTTCACATCATTGATAGAAAATGTGTTAGCACTTTCTTTTACAGTCCTTTGTTTCTTTGTACAAACATTGACCTACAGCTCAAATCTTTTGATAACATGATGTAAAGTGCTGTATAAAAGCATTATATTTACAATCATGCATCAATAGCATTGGGCAATGGGCAATATGGCATCATTAAATACTGGTGGTGGTGAATCAGCAAAGATCTTAATCCAAGATTATTTAATGTAGAGCCAAAACATCATGACCAGTCATAGCAGGTGAAGTGAATATCGTTGATCATCTCCAAATAAGGCCACATATTAAAGTCTGGGTAGATTAGATGGTAAGCAAACAATCAATTATTGCAATCAACATGTTGGATACTGGAGATGGGCAGGAAAAAAGATCTGAGTGACTTTGACAAGGGCCAAATTGTTATGCCAAGGCGACTGGGTCAGAGTATCTATGAAACAGCAAGGCTTGTGGGTTTCTCCCAGTCAGCAATGGTAAGAATTTACCAACAGTGTTCCAAGGAGGGACAAACCACAAACCGGTGACCGTGTTGGGCACCCAAGGCTCATCGATGCACGAGGGCAACTAAGGCTATCCCGTCTGGTCAAAGCCAACAGAAAGTCTACTGTAAAATTTTAGTGATGGTTATGGGAGGAATTTTATCAAAACTCACACCGATCAGAATGCCTTTGATGACCCCTGTCCACCGTCAAAAGCACCTACAATGCGAGCGTCAGAGCTAGGCCTTGGAGCAGTGGAAAAAAGGTTGCCTGGTCCGATGAGTCCCGTTTTCTTTTACATCACATGGGCGGCCGTGTATGCTGTTTACCTGGGGAAGTGATGGCACCAGGATGCACTGTGGTACGACAACAAGACCGTGGAGGGAGTTTAATGCACTGGGCAATGTTCTGCGGGGAAAACATGGCCATTTATGTGGATGTAAATTGAACACATGCCAAATACCTAAACATTTTTGCAGACCAGGTAAAACATTTCACAATGATGGTGTTCCCTGGTGGAAGTGGCCTTCTTTCAGCAGGATAATGCACTCTGCACACATTGTTCAGGAATGGTTTGAGGAACATGATTAAGAGTTCCAAGATGTTGCCCTGACCTCCAGATTCCCCAACTGTGGGTGCACCTCGCAACCTACAGGATTTGAAGGATCTGCTGCTAAATTCTTGGTGCCAGAAACACAGGACACCTTCAGGGGTGTGTTGAGACCATGCCTCGATGGGTCAGAGCGGTTTTCGTAGCACGCGGAGGACCAACAACATATTCATCACTTTTCATTACACCCCATGCAGACAAGCAGTTTATAAATACAAACGGATTCCTGAAATACCAAATATCCATCTTTTTATTTCAGATACATTTCTGGGATGTACAAAAACCAGAAGACCATGAAATATTTTAACAAGTTTATTCATTTTTATAATGCAACACTGTTCGATTAAATCTCTTTAACTGTTCGAAAAACACCTTCCAGTGTAAATTATTTGTATGTTTCCAAAAAAAAAAAAAAAAAAAGAGGTCATACACAGCAACGGATTCCTATTAGGATTCATGACCGACATTCAATCTGGGTGAAATATATATATTAAAAAACAGCATTAAGACCAATAGACATTTGAAGGTGCTGCCATAACGTGCCAGCTGCACCTCTGTAAACTTCATGAGAACAATTTTTGTGGGAAGAAAGGGATTATTGTGGGAGGGAAGACTGATGAAAAAGACATTCTGGATTTGGTTCTAAAAACAAGCTCAGTCTTTAGAGAAAGGGATGACGTGTTCAACTACAGGTCAGAAAGTGCTTGACTTAACCACTCGCACACAAGTAGGAACAAGGGAGGAATAAAAGGGATTTCTTAACTGTAAAACTGCAGTTCACTGAAATAAAATTGCAGCTTGATAACGCTTTTTTTCCTTAAAAGAGACAATCCTCCACCATTAAAATGACAGAGGTATGCAGAGGGACTCTGCGCCTGAGGCAGACTCTGTTGTAAGGCAACCGAGAAGTCCAAGACATTGACCTTCAAAGGGGAACAAGTCCAAAGTGTCTCGGTAGAAATGTTGAGGGGACGATAACCTGAGTGCGGGGTGTGTCTCGTATGTGTGTGTTTGTGAAGCTGTGTTAGTGTGTGCTAGGCGGGCGACTCCAGGGCATTCTTGTACCAAACAACCTTTCCAGGGTCTGAAAAAAAAAAAGAGTCTGTTAATGACAGTCTAAAAATGGTCTCTTTCATGGATATTAATAATAGTGGTGAACCGATATAGCCAACCAAATCAGACAATATTTGGCATTTATAAATTACTGGCTTTGGCAGGCAAGTTTTCTGTTTTGCTGATGTGTCGGAAGTGGTACTTTTACTTTGACAAACGCAGAGTGTCTTATGGCTCGTTTCCTTTGAGCGGTGCGGTACGCAATTATTTCCGTTTCCACTGTCAAAAGTTGTGAATGGTACCAAAATGCCGAACCGTACCACTGTGCTAGGTACCCCAACGGAAGGGTACCTGAAGGGTGGAGCTAGACTCACGGCAGAATGTTGATTGGTTGACAGAGAATCGTCACTTGCACGTGAAACAAGGGGAATGACAACATAAGCGCCATTTTTTAATATACAGTTGAAATATAATACTACTGTTATTGTGTCACGAAATGTAGTTTTAAGAGTTTTTCAGGCGAGAATGTAGTCGTTTAAAGCTCAAATCTGTTGTTTATTTATAAAGATTTATGAAAATTTGATCCACGTTGTGAGATCCATTCCAGGCGATCACCACAAGCCGGAACAGGGTTTACCGTCCCGCTCAGTGGAAACAAGCCATTAGCTCCAGTTTTCATTAGTTTACTGTCTGTCTAACAGTTCTGTACAATACACTATTATAAAGAACTGTTAAACAAAGAAAGTAGATGTTATATGCAAAAAGTCTAACCTTCCATTCTTTTCTAGAATTAGTAACAGAGGCAAATGCTGTAATAATTAAATCACCCACTGTTTCAGCAAATATGCAATTATATGATTTAAACAAGCTCTTGAAAATCTAATAAATATTTTACAAATCTTGCAAACTCTGAATTTGTAGACTGCATAAAAACATTTACTCCGTGTTAACGGTTGGTTCAAGTGTGTTGGATAAGGACAAGAGAGTTCAGCTTCACTGTTATATATAAAATCCCTGCTCTTTAAGGTATCAGCATTGGCCGTCAAAAAAATGATATCGGTCGACCACTAAACGAAAATTAAGACACAAACCTTGTTTTTGTTTCCATAATATTGCGTTCCATTCTGTGGATTAAAAGAAAAGAATCAGTGAGATAAAGCATAGTGGGGTTAGAAAAACCTCAATGCCTTGTGCAACCACAACTATATGGTCTTACCTTGTGTGTGATACTCCAAGGCTTCTTCCAGGTGGCGACAGCTAAGCAGCAGCTCCTCCGAACTCTCAGAGCCTCTCTGGACCTGACTGGGCAGAGACTCTGAGGGTTTAACAGTAACCTCTCCAGCTACTGGATGGATAACCGGACTCTTCTCCTGGGGAACATCTGCTTCCGGGCCATCACTGATGAAACTCAGTCCCCACTGGTTCTGCAGCAAAACCCCGATACCAGGTGGCTCTTCTGCCGCCCCAACAGAACCTCCTCCTGCCTTCACCTTGGAGGCGTAGCTGACGGCCGGCTGCAGTTTGGCAGGGCTGTCTTTCACAGGGAAAGCAGGTGGAGGTTTAAGCAAAGACAAGCTGTTGTCCACCCATCGTTCTTTCAGACCGGTTCTGGAGTGTCTCTCATCTGAACGTGGCCCTGCTCTCGGGCCGTCTCGTCGAAAGCTTCTTGCTTTATTCTGGGAGCGACGCTCTCTATCGCGGCTCGATATGAAGGTCTGGGTGTGGCCCACCCCGTTAAGAGAACCTTCCAGGCTACTTGGTGAGGCTTGACGTTTATCCATCCCAGAGGAACAGCCCCCTCCTCCCCCGCCGCAGCTGCCAGAGCCGGGAGAGAGGCGACGGTTTCGGATCTGTGGTTCTGATTTAGGGGGTGACACTAGGACAGCCGGATCACACAAGGGGTCGGACTCACACACTGCATTGCTTGACTCCCAAGTACCTAAAGAATAAATCAAATCCAATTATTCAATCATGAAACTGTTGGGAAACATATTCAGTTGTCCAAAATCTTGAGTTTTAATCTAATGTTAATTTGATAATATCAAACCCTAACCATTTCCATTACATTAATACATTGCAATATTCCATTACAATAATAACTGTGTTATGGTCTAATATATTAATCTTAAAAACAATGCATGGGAGGAAAGCAAACAAATGCCCCAAGCAAAGTAATGAGTCTTGAATCAGTGAGCCGTAGCAAGGAGTTACTAGAAATTTCTATCCGTCGCCTCCACACATCTGAAAATTCAGAGAGGACTAACCGGAGAAACTAGGACAGCTCAGTAAAATATCTCCTACTAGACGTTTATTAACATCTCACTACAGATAATAGTGACGTTTTGGATACACGATGACGATTTTTTTTTTACAGCACTGGTCTGGAAACGACACTAAGTTAACACACAGACACTGGCACACATTTGATATAGTCTAAATGAACTAAATAAACGCGTTTGTAAGTCTAACCCACTATTATATCGTTAACTATTTGTCAAAATATCATTAAAAACGTTTGAATGTTTAAGTGTGTCGACATTGCTAACGCTAACACCAGGCCGCTTATGTTTGGATATTTAGCGCCCATAACAACCGCCTTCAGCAGAACAAACCCGAAGCGTCAGATTAAATAACAGCCACTACTTGTTATTTCAGATCATTAAACATCGAAACGACAACAACGAAAGATGTTAGTGACCTCGGAAAGATCCAGAAACAAAAGTTTCATAAGTCTCGAGAGCTCATTCCGTCCCGCTCGAGCACAAACAACTTAACTTCATATTGCAAAATACTCCCGCAATTTAACATCCAAATCAAGCAAAATACAATTTAAAGACAACACTTACCTGTTTTGATATGCATTTCGGTGTGGTAAATCCGTTTTTTTAAGAGCAGTTTGGACTTTATTGTGTGTGTAACGTTACGTGAGTATGTCGCGCAGCGGCGTGTTGCTTAATACGATCATACGGAAGTGACAGTCACCAGGGGGAAATGGGGCGATGACAATTTCCGGTGTGCTGATGGCGCGAAGAAGAGAGGGAACGGCTCGTGAGCAGATTTGAAATTATGTTATGGATGACAACTAGAAAAATCTGGCTATTATCTAGATTCTCATGTAGTTTACCATAACATTAGAAGCAAACTTAAAAGAAATGTATATTTATGTACAATTAAACCCAATCAATTCATTGTATAAAACGGGATCAAATGTGATTAACAGAATAGGCTATAGGTTAAAATATGGTTTAAAATTATCTTAAAAAAAAAAAAAAAAAAAGGCTATATTTTATGCTCAGAAAGGAATACAAAAAAGATCCCATAATGGCCATGCTATATAGTGTACCAAAAACAAATGGACCAAAAATGACTCATCCTGCACTACAAAGATTATTGTCCAATAAAATGCTCTTTAGAATGAGAATGTCCCTTCCTTAATGCAACTTGCAACTGACTAGCTAGTAGCACATCATGGTTTATTGCAAGATGTATACCTACTACAGCCTATTCCAATAGTTCATGGGGTCTTTGAGGAAAGAGAAAAATGGGGGGTTTTTTAGAACAAAACTGTCAGTCTACACAATAAGTCGGCATGCATGTAGATTAATGAAAATCTCTGGAGTTTAAACCTTGTCTCACCATCAGTGTCCATTCTGTCCACTTAATCAATGTGTTTTGTAGCCGCAAATGTGCCATGAGCTACTCCTGCTTTCCTCTCTGATTCTCCCCTCAAGTTTCTGGTTATTTCCCTTGCCTGGTCTCTTCAAATAAATATCTCCTGTCTTCATTACCTCTGATTTTTTGTTGCTTTCCCTCAGTTTCTTGACCTCTTGTCTTATGGAGTGCATGATCAAGCTGCTTATCTGTGTTTTTCTGTTTGTATTGTATTTCGTCACTCGCTTGAGGAGGACACTCAGATTTGCTGATTGTTTGTGGTATTTGGTTTAAGCTTTAACTGTTGTGAACGTTGCCCTTCTCTCTATGATCAGTCTCTCTGAAACAATCACAAAATGTAACATAACAAAGATAAAACTACAGTTTGGTTAGTAAATTCATGATATCATGATATCCTGACAGTATTGCAATAGCAATTCTACAATGGAATAGCTTTCATATTTCTTTTTTCATCACCCATTGTAATAATAAAGAGCAAGAAAAACATTTTGGGGAGAGATCTGATTAAACAGAATAATAACCTCAAAAGTATATGGCTCTGTTGTGTATGAGGGAGTGGTATTTCACTTTAGGGATTGGTTTATTACAGTATAAACTTTGGACCCATGGAAAAGGTTGACATTACACTTGTTCCAAAACACACCTAACGATGATTCACTTGTGTTGTCCATTTCCACTGGAAAACTACAATAAAAAAAAATACAGGAGTTTTTTAACATCCTATATGCGAGCCAATACAGATGAATTGTGTTTTTAAATAGATAAAACACCTTCATGACCTATTATGGCTCTAAAAGGAACTTCACAGAATCAAAGTAAGTTTTGTTTTAAATTTCTTAATATTTATTTACAAATGTCCTCACAGACCATGTTCACAATCAATAATTGGGGGGAGGTGGGGGTAATTCATGACATGTACCACACATATTTATACCGTGGTACTGTAAGTATATTTGAGTCAGTATTTGTATATTTTAGCTGTGATTTAGAAGTGCAAGTTACAGCTGTGGGTCATATTGGGTATGTCTTTATAAACTTTGCATACTTCGATGTGTAATTTCAGGTTATATTTTAACTTCATGTCTCACAGTCTTGTCTTTTTCTTGAATTATTAATCTGCAAAGACTTGAGGACAATAGAAGCACTGGATAACATGTGCATTTTGGAAGATGCCAGTACTGCCATGACAAAAAAATGTTCCAAGAATGTTTTGCTTATCGCTCCTATTAAGTTGTAAAAATGTTCAAAAATAACGTTTTTGTGCTAACGTTTTGAGAACGTTTTTAAAGATCAGATAACTCTGACCAAACATTCTATTAAAGTTATTTGAAGAATGTTTGTTCATGACCTCGCCAGAATTTTAGCTAAAGTTCTTAGAACATCCCAGTTAGCTGCATTAACCTGAGTTCTGAATAATATAATGTCTTCTAATCTAAAACATTGAAAATATATCACACTTGTCTCTTAATCAAGGGAATGTGCAGCATTTGTTCGAGTTGAGGATCATCCTACTTGGAGGCCGAAATTCTGGAAAGAGCTTAGTGGGAAATGCTATCTTAAACCAAGAAGAGTTTGTCCTCCATGAACGGACCACTTGCCTAAAAAGAAAAGCCGAAGTACAAGGGAGAAGTGTGAGGGTGGTGGATACCCCAGGTTGGTGGTGTGACTTCTCAGCACAAGACACACCAGAGCTGGTCAGGAGAGAAATCAGACACAGCGTCTGTCTGAGTCTCCCAGGGCCTCATGTCTTTCTCCTGGTGGTGAAAACAGACTCTGTGTTCATAGAAAAGCGGAGGAGAGCCGTAGAAAAGCATCTTGAGCTCTTCAGAGAAAAGGTTTGGAGTCACGTTCTGGTGCTGTTCACAAAAAGCAAAAACTCAGAAAATAAATCATTTGAGGATCTTGTTCAGGCATCAGGTAAACCCCTCCAGTGGCTCCTGAAGAAATGCAGTGGCAGGTTTCATGTTCTTGATACCCAGAAAACATGCAATGCCACCCAAGTAATGGAACTGATGGGGAAAATCGACAAGATGGTTGCAGAAAATGAAAGACAACATTTTGAAATGGATGTAAAGGCTTTACAGGAGATAGAGGATAGGAAGAGGGAAGTGGAGATCAAGGCTCATCAAAGACTGATGAAGATACAGAAACAGAGATCTACTCTGAAGGGTGAGTTTTAAAATAAGATACACTAAAACAATAAATGTGCCATTAAAAGACAATTCCGTAACATTATTGATTTAACTGCACTGTCTGACACTGTAGGATGTAGGAAACTAAATTGAGCTGGGTAATGACACTAACTTTGCAAGCTAACATATGTGAAATATGTTCTAAGAACGTTTCGCTAATGTTCATGTTTAGTTATTAAAAATGTTATTTTTGACTGTTCATAACTTTGAGAGAACCTTTAAAATGTATGCATTTTACAACATTAACAGTGTTAGTATTTGTATCAAGTGCTATATAAATAAATGTGACTTTACAGTAATTTACCATATGCATTTTATTGTAAAACTTCATTGTTTTTCTTCCTCCCTTCAGTGCACTCATCTCATCACCATAACATAAGACTTGTCCTGCTTGGAGCAAAGGGCTCAGGGAAGAGCTTGACAGGAAACAGCATTCTAGCAGCAGGAAGTGACCTAAGTTTTACAGCAAAGAAGCGGACCACGCGGTGCATGAAGAAAACGTTCACAATGTTGGAAAGAGAGGTCACAGTGGTGGACACACCTGGCTGGTGGATGAACTACTTTACCCAGGATTCTTCAGCTTTTGACAAACAAGAAATTGTCAACAGTGTTTATTTGTGTCCACCCGGTCCCCATGCTTTCCTTTTGGTGGTGCGGTTGGACAGGTCATTCACAGAGATCTACAGGAGAGCCATTGAAGAGCATGTAGAGCTTGTTGGTAAGGACGTCTGGAATCACTCTATAGTGCTGTTCACCTTTGGTGACTGGCTTGGTGACACAACCATTGAGCAGTACATTGAAAGCGAAGGAAAGGCCCTCCAGTGGCTCGTGGAGAGATGTGGAGACCGCTACCATGTGCTAAACAACAAAAGCCTTGGGAATAAGTTCCAGACAACAGAGCTACTGGAGAAGATAAAGGAGATGACAGCAGGGAATAGCGTGAGACACTTTCAAACAGATGAGAGTCTTTTTAAAGAGATTGAGAGAAAACAGAAAGTACAGGAAGACATGGCAAAGCTGCGACGTGAAAATGTGCTGAGACGAAGAGAAAGCTTGAGAGCTTTTAAGAGTAAGTCAAGAATGTTTTCTTCCAGAATCATCTAATAAATTATACTGTGATACAAAATTTGAGTATGAATCAAAGGTACATTATGCAACTTTGGTCCCTGCAGGCATTTTGCAAAAGAACATTGTTCTGGTTGAGCTTCGGCTCTTTGTGACTGTGTTTAGATGGATCTCAAGCTGACTAGCTGAAGACGTTACTTTACCCATTAATGTTACTTCCTTGAAAATAAATTCCAGCACAGCGCAACAACTTATAATGAAATTACCTTTCACAATAGATTATGCTTTACAATGAACTCTGTTAGAGAGCTGCATATGCATATGGCAATTTATCTGTTCTGTTCAATAAAATACTCACTTGATGAGTAATAAAAACGCCATCTCAGTGTCACTTTTACAACATTTCAAATCCCTCAGTTCTCGCCATCTCTGAAAAGCCAAGCCAATGTTAATTCTGGTTTTATTACGAGCTCCGTCACGCTCTCTTTTAACTAGGAGACTCTCCTCTGTTCTGCGTTTGTTTTAAACGGGTGATTCCCTGGAGGTTGAAGATTTAGCTGCTCCATGTCAACCTTTCTTGCTCGTTGTGACAACTAACCTATACTACTCACATACCATACACACATCAAAGTAGCCAGAGTAACTTTTCTCTATTCATATATATATATATATATATATATGAGACAAGCACGGGCGAGTGATGTATGTAAGTCATTTCCAGTGAAAGCCACTTATAATAGGCTTACCATAGTGAATCAGGGTAAGACAAAAATGCGTTTTAGAAGAAGGATTGATGATGTATTGATTTTTTTTATCAATAAAGTTCACGCTCATTCAAACTCATAAGACTTTGGTTAACCTTTGAAACACAAATTAAGATATTGTTTAAGAAACCTTAGAGGTTTTGCAACCAAAAAATCAAAAAAGATCCAAAAAAGAACATAAAGGAATCTTAAAACTAATCCATATGAATAAATGAAGTCAAGTAAACCCCTAAATTAAATCTGTCAGACATCATTAAACGATGCCTTTATGACCTTTTTTGGATCTTCAAAGTTTTGGTTGCATGAACTTTTAATAGAGCGAAGATCAGTTTAATCTTAACTGATTTGAGAATCTAATTTCATTCAAAATATAGGTAGTTCTAAGTCTTATGGGTTTGGAACAACATGAGGGTGAGTAAATGATGACAGACCTAACCCTTTAAGATTTGTTTTCTTTCTCTTTCTCTTCTCTTACAGATCAGGTGCGATTGCCTTCAGCCATAAGAGTTTTCCTCCTGGGCGGCAAGCACTCTGGTAAGACATCATCTGCATGCTGCATTTTGGGTAATGATGGACAAGAGGCTGACAGCCAAAAACCCATTAGAGGTACGGTTATGTTCAACAAGACAAAGGTTGAGGTCATTGTCACAACAGGCTGGACAACTGAGTCTCCAGATAATGCAGAGTTCAGCAGCAAACTTCTCCATGACTGGGTTTCTGGTTCAGAAAGCGGGATCTGCATCCTCCTGCTGGTTGTCAATGCCAGTTCCTCATTTACGCTAAAGAACCTGAAAGCAGCTCAGGACCATCTGCATGTTCTGGGAGGGAAAGCATGGAGCAGCACCATTGTGTTGTTCACGAATGGAGACTGGCTCGGTGATGTTAGCGTTGAGCAGTACATTGAAAGTGAAGGAGATGCACTTCAGACACTGGTGGAGAAATGCGGAAATATATACCAGGTTTTCAACAACAAGATCAAAGCCAATGGCACTCAGGTCGCAGAACTGATGCAGAAGATAGAGGAGATGGTGTTAGAGCAGGTGCTAAACAGTGCAGAAAATCAAGGGAACATTAAACAACCTCGAGTACATGGCGAATTGAGGTTCAGAGGAAGGATTGGGGAAGAAACACTTCTTAGAAGCTCTACAAACATCCATCATGGTGAGTTATTTTTTCCCCCATTATTTCCCCATAGTTTATTATGGAAGCTTGTTTTCACCAGTGGAAAAAAAAGTAATTGCGACTTTAATCTCACAAGTGTGGCTCTTTTTCTCACAATTACGAGTTTATATCTCTCAATTCTGACTTTTATAACTTGCAATCGAAAGTTTATATCTCACAATTTTGAGTTAACACCTCACAACATTTTTTTCTTCAAGCTTCCATAGTTTATTGCATATAGTATTTCTGCATTTAAATCATTTAGGTTTATATACTTGCTTGATTCTGGTATTGTATGTTTAAAGTGTTTATAACTCTTTTTGTATTGGGTTACACTGACATTCCAGGAGAGCATCAAATGTTTGGGATCTCTACATCCAGTGATCCGAGAATTACCATCACCGATTCCAGCCCTTCGCAAAATGAAAATGAATCACTGGCCTGCAGGAGTGTCCAATTATGTCGGACCTCGTTACCCAGAAACTTTCATCGAGGACTAGTAGTGGTGCTCAACAGCTCAGAGTGGTTTCAGCCAAATGAATCATGGATTGGTGTGAATAGGACAGATGGACCTGAAGCAGGCTCTCTTGCTGTGCGCCATGTTTCACCAACTGAGCAACCAATGAATGTACAACGATTATTCAGGAGTGAATCACAGGAGGAAAAGTTTTGTGGGCCAGCCCTTCCATATTACCACACCAATACACCTTGCACAGCTCAAACTGCAAAAGAAAGAGCCTTTATAGATTTTGTCCAATCAGAGAGCCTGCAGAACCTAATTGACCAATGGGGTGACAGTAACATTGAGGAGCTGGAGGCATTCATAGATTCTTATTTTGAGATGGTGTGGCAGGAGAAATGCAGCAGCCTGACAACAATCAACTGTGAGAGTTCAAGCATCAATGAAAACGATCAGGGACATCTGGCCTCAATTGACAGGAAACTGTCAAAACTTGACATCCTGGAGGGAATTCAAAGAGAATTGCGGGAGCTGAAGCAAAGCATCAGGCACTGTAGTAGAATGTTTGAGGAACTGAAGGACAGAAGTAAAGAGACACATGACCCCAGCCGACCTTCTGAAGCAACTGCGTCAGCAGAAAGTGAGGAAAGGGGTTGCTCAGATGAAAAGTGAATGGGGTTTTGCAGTACTGAAATGATAAAAGATTTACTGAAAATAAACATATTGGTTAAAATGGGTCATGACTATAACTTCACGAAACGGAAAACGGAAGTTGAGATAGTCTTTTCTTCCCGATTGTGACATATATCTGAGTGAAATAACTTTTCGAACAAGAAAAAAGTTAGGGTGGGACTTTTTTCCATCAGGAATTTATTGCATTTGCTATTGGTCGATCTCATGTGAGTGACAGGTTGTCCCGCCCTCACACCAATAAACATGTCATCAGATAAGAGAAGAGATGTTACTGCTTCAAGAGGGAGGGGAAGATATTTTAAATAAAGATTACAAGGGAACATGAATTTAAAACCAATTACACTGATAAATCATTTATAATAAATACCACAATATTCCACAAAAAAAAGAGAACTGTCCGTTTTGATTTCATGGTGCCTTTAAAGTCTGAAAAGAAGATGTGCATTTTTCTCTCTAACAGAAAAGGAATTCAGAATTAAAATGTCCCAGTTAATAAATCACAAATATAGGTATGGTCCTTTAATAATAAATATTTTAATACAGCTGGCATCACACAATTCTCATTGAAAAGTATGATTTGAAATTCTCTTGAACAGCATGCAGACACTCTCATAAGTGCTGGTGACAGCAGAAAATATTTTATATCCTAATCTTGCAGAAGATTTTATTTTGTTTTATATAAAATTTGAAACACACACACACACACATAATATATATACAGTAGGAAGAAAATACTATGGAAGTCAATGGGTGCCGTCCACTGTCTAGTTACCGACAATCTTCAAAATATCTTCTTTTGTTTTTGGAACAACTTGAGGGTAAGTAAATGATAAAAAAATTTTCACTTTTGGGTGAACTATTCCTTTAACGTTCCTGGGAGAAGGTTTGTTCATAACTTTCAGAGAACCTTACTAGAATGTTAGCCAAAGTTCTGAGAATGTTCCCTGTCAGCTTTAAATGTCAATCATGCTTTTATAATAATTTGCAATTAAATCATGTTTAAAACGCTAAAATGTTTAACTAGTTGTTCAATATATTATATAGCCTAGCTAAAAGCCATTACATTTTTTGAAAATAAAAATACTCAAAGAATTGTTTAACAGTGGACATAATTTTATATCAGTCATGCTTTTCCCTGACACTGTTGTCTCCTTGGTAAAAAAGTACAGTAGATAAACTAAATTGTTGTGGCAGTTGAAAAGTTGAAAACGTACTCGGTTACTGACGTAACCTCGGTTCCCTGAGAGTAGGGAACGAGTATTGCGTAGCTATACACAGTGGGGAACTCCTTTCCTCGAGAATATTGAAGCCTATTTAAAACGCAGTGCAGCTGCACAGCGAGCACAGAGAGTGTCTAGCTCACTCATTGGCTGTGCTGCAGCAACTGCACACCCAATGGCGAGGCGCCTCTGACACGCGAACCAATCAGGCGACCTGCAGATCTCCCACTCGCTTTATTGATGCCAGTGCCAGCAGGAGAGCAGTTTTCAGCGAAAGTGGCTTAAGATCAGCCGACTGTAGCGGCTCGAATGGGGGACCCTTCAGGGCCGTAAGGACCGTGGAGAGGTCCCAGGCCGGAATAGAAGGGGGCCTGGAGGGATTCATCCTCCTGGCTCCTTTGAGAAACCGAACGACAAGGCCGTTTCTCCCCAGTGATTGGCCAGCCCGGGAGCATGGTAGGCTGCTATGGCTGCCACGTACACTTTGAGCCTGGATGGGGAGCGACCCGCATCCAGCAGCTCTTGCAGGAAGGAGAGTACCACTGATAACTCGCATGACTGAGGTTCGAAGTGTCTAGCTGTGCACCAGCCAGAGAACACTGACCACTTTAGGGCATAGAGACGCCTGGTAGATGGGGCTCTAGCCTCAGTGATAGTATTCAAGACCCTCTCAGGGAGGTCCCTGGATGGCCCATAAGTCGGGGCGAGGGTGCCAAATCGTCCCGTTTGCCTGCATGAGGAGATCCTTCCTCACTGGGACAGGCCAGGGGACTTTGTCCGTCATCTGAGCCAGCTCTGGAAACCACGCCCGGGATTTCCAGAAGGGGGCCACTAGGAGGACTGGGCATCCACTCTCTCTGACCCGTTTGATGACCTGAGGGATCATGGAGACAGGGGCGAACGCATAAAGAGGGTGACTGGGCCAAGGATGGGCCAGCGCGTCCCTGTTCTTCGAAAAGAATGCTGCGCAATGAGTGTTGTTTTTCGAGGCGAAGAGGTCGACCTCTGCCTTGCCGAATACACTCCATATCAGACGAACCGTCTGTGGGTTGAGAGACCACTCACCTGGGGGAATGTTGTCTCGAGATAGCATGTCCGCACCCAAATTTTGAGCAGCTCTCAGAGAGCGCAGGTTGGCATGTGACCAAAGGAGGAGATTTCTGGTCATAACATAACGGTTGCCTGATCTGAGGCCACCCTGGCGATTTATATAGGACACCACTGACATGTTGTCTGTGCGGACTAAGACGTGGTGTCCCCTGAGGTCTGGCAGAAATGCATTCAGGGCCAACCAAACTGCTCTCATTTCCAGGCAGTTGATATGTAAGCTCTTCTCCGGGCTCAACCAGAGGCCGGAGACAGACTTGCCCTTGCACAGCTCTCCCCAACCTTGGTTGGAGGCGTCTGTGAAAATTACCTTCCTCCTGGAGGTCACACCCATAATCACGCCCGACTGGTACCAGTTCTGGACTTTCCAGGGAACCAGAGCTCTGATGCAGCGCTGGTTCACCATAATGTGCAGGCGTCCTGACCGCCACGCATGGGCTGGCACACGGAATTTGAAACAAAGCTTAGAAGAAGGATATAAAGGATATATAGAGTTTTCCACCGGATGGCCACAGGAGAGCAGCGACAGAAGAGAAGCGGCTTCGAGGTGAGTTGAAGGCGCTGTCCGCTGTTTGCAAGGAAGGAAAGGAAAGGAAATATAGCTTATGCGTAGCCTGTTCACAGAGCACATATAAAAACAATAACACAAGAAAGTCCAAACATACTGTGTGACTCTCCTCCATTCAGCTAATTTTACTTAAAGCTCGTGACAGAGAATGTACCTCTGTGCTCAGGGAGCAGAATGCAGACAGATGAACCGTGAACGCGCACAGACCCCTTAAAGGCGCGTGACAGCTTGACGCCGCTTCCCTTTAAGAGCCCGTTATGCGTCACCTGACCAGGTCCACCGACAACCGAAAAGGCAGGACCTTAACCTGCATTACCAGAAAAATAAGCAACTAAATATCCAAGATCTACACGATATATCAGTGAAACGTGAACAATTACTTGTCTTCATAGGCTACTCTCGCCCTTGAAAAGGCTTGAAAAAGACACGTCATCATCACCATCATCATCCGACAGGACGGGAAGGACACACGGGCTTTGACCGAAAAATACCGAGGCTCCGGAATCCCGAACAGGTTTATACTGGATTAATCAACGGAACGTTTTTTCAACTCGTTTTTATGCTTTTGTTCTATTCATTCCATTGAAAAAAGAAGGGTTCAACGTAAAACGCCCCGTCATTTCGGTTTGATGTTTTTTTAAAAAAAAATACATATATTAATCAAAGGTGACAGTTTACCGTATTAATTTGATTATTTATTTCCCACAAGAGCCAGAAAATAGCTCGGCGTAGGGCGTTACGTAATAGGAGCATTATCCATGGTGCTGAAACCAACCCATGCATAGACGCCTACATCGACCAAATTTTATAGAAATAAACTTCAAACATATATTTTTGTGCTTTTGAATACGTCATTTCAGGCGCTCTTGTTGGAAACCAAAAGGAGAAATCGACATTGTCAGTTTACGTAGAGCCACCTTGGATTCCGTTTCCTTTTTTGTCGGCGAATATCATATGCATTTCGACTGTCCTTCCCCCTGAAGTTGATTCTTGAGGTGGTTGTCGACGCTACCGGGAGAAAATGTCGGGACAGACTCTGACGGATCGCATCGCCGCGGCGCAGTACCAGCTCACCGGATCCGAGGTGGCTCGTGCCGTTTGCAAAGCCACCACGCACGAGGTGATGGCGCCCAAGAAGAAGCACCTGGATTGTAAGTGAGACATTTTTTGACTCACCCTCATTCCTCAACGCGTTCAGTCTCACTCAGACCTGGCGCTGTCCATTTCAGCACCACAGCACAGTCCAATGCGTAGAATAACGAAGCTGTGTATATGCATGGCTTGTACTCAATGAGGTTGTTTGCTACTAGTTGGAATTCTGTCAATGGAAAACCTGCCTTTTAGTGTGCATGTAATATAAGGAGCTTATATTCTAAGAAGTGTGTCAGTGTGTGTAGCTGATTGCATTTAACTGCCAGCACAGAACATACCCTGAAGTGTCTTTATGTGGGTGGTGTGGTCTGGAACTGAGAGGGAGAGACAGTAAAAGAGAAGACAGAAGGAAATCAACTGTTTTAAACAAGACGGAGAGGCAAAAGCATCTTCGTGTCGCCCTCGAGCTCTGTGTCCTGCAGGAGTAGGCCTTCTGAATTATAAATCGATCAGCCAAAGCATGCATGTATTATTTACAAAGCCAAAGGTGAGGACACTGGTATGCAAGCTGGGGAATCTTGTTGTGTGTTAATATCAGCAATCCCTTCATCAGGGAATCACATGTGTGATTTCACAGGCACTCCCAAAATCCATAGATTCATAAATCCGCTTTGTCTTGGCAAGGTTTAGCATTGTTGGCCTGTCTACAGACACAAACTTGTCTTACTTTTATAGTATCGGGAGTTTTGTGACAAGAAATGTGTTTGTTGAGTTTTTATCTCATAACTCCAGCCATTTGTCTGTTGAATTGGAAGGCGTGAGGGGTGGTGGTGAGGTTGTCATGGAAACTGAAGTAGATTATTGGGGAAGGGGGAGGGGTGAGTCAGTGACATCATGATGACATGGTATCAGTGTGCAGAAAGGGTCTTCATACCAATACAGAGGCAGCATTTACTTTGAATTTAAAAAGTCGCAAGACAGCAAGAAAGTCGCAGATTGTTAGTTTAATGTGGTCTTTTCTGTCAATGTTGTTGTGCTGCTTCATAGAATATTATTTAAATATTAAAGCGATCACTGTCTTTTTTTAGATGCATTTGTTTGGATTGATTTGTATGATCTTGCATCATGTAGGCTAGTTAAGAGACCAAAGCAACTGATTGGCAGAGTTTAGTCATGTGTTCTCACATATGGTGTGTGTGTGGTGTTTGCAATTTGTCTGTATTTACACCGTCTGTAATCCAGTCACATGAGCAATTCCATAATCCCAATGAGCTGCACCTGCTCAAATACTCATAACCTATATGTACAGACTCCCAAAACAGGGACTGCTATGACATATACTTCAATATATAGTGACGTTACATAGCAACAAATTACACTAGTGGTAACGCAACTCACACTGTATCTCAGTGTGTTCTAATCTGGACTATTCTTGGCTTCTTAACTCCACTGCAGTGTGCTCTCTAGCAGCCATGACTAACATATTGGCACCCTGAGCACAGCGCTATATGGAATTTAAGACGATCTCCTGTCGGGAAGTCTGTCAGGAGAATGCCAGGGACATATTGCACTCCCAAATCCAAAGAAACAAAAATAACTTAGATTTTGTTTAAAGAACATTAATCCTGTTTTAGGACTATTGGGATTTGTTTTGCATTTGTTACATTATTTTCATCACAGTTAAACACATTTTCCACCAGATTTCCCAACGAAAGAATGATGCATCATTTAAATTATAAGTGTCTTTAATTCATGCTGATTCCAGTTTTCATTGCTTTACAGTATTGAGAATCAAATGAGAATTATCACTGAGTAATATGTAAAATGAGTATAAAGTATTTAGGGACAATGTCATAATGCAAGAAATCTTAATGGTCCCAAAACAAGTTTTATTTCTTTATAAAATCTTTGGTTTTGAGGGTAAAATTTGCTACTTTTTCAGTAGTTGCTTGAGACCGAAAACTGATATTCAGTCTGAATGAAGTTAATTTTAAAGTTCTACTTTGTGTGTGGTCGAATACTGTCTGTATGAACGTGAACTGAACACCTTGGTTTAAAATCTCATCCGAAGGATGGTGCTTTTTTTGACAGGATAGTGTCCCCGTCACTATACTGGGGCGTTAGGACCGAGCAGCCCCCTCTTGGTCTCTCTTGAAGCCAACAGGACTTAAACTGCAATTCATCGACTGGCCGCTAGAGACAGGCTCCAAAAGGGAGTCAATTCCATAGACCCCATGTTAAAATGCCCAACTTTGCAGCACAAATAAATGTGTTTACAGCCTGGTACAAAAATTGGTTTTGGTCTATATAGCTAATTTTGCCCTTCATGACAACTGTGAGGGGGGTGAATCTTTTTATAACTCATTCGTTTAAATTATATTAAGCATTAAAGTTCTGCATAATTAAGGGCGTGGCCACTTGAGTGACAGGTGGATTGTCACTGCTGTCACTACTAGCCGTTTGTCTGCTGCAAACCAGGCACCTCAGCTCCACCCACGTCCCGCCTCTTTGCCCATTTCCTGTTATCCGAGAATGACGCGCGGTGACGCTCTGCCAAGATGGCAACGACTGGCTCCGCCAACTTTGGGCTTCAAAAATGCTCTTCAGAAACCTACGGGTGACGTCACGGACACTACGTCCATATTTTTTTTTACAGTCTATGGTTAGGACCATAGACTGTAAAAAAAGATGGACGACGCCCCTTCGCTCTTTTCCATTGGAGAGAACTGAAGCCGCCAGTGTCCCGATATGGCGCTGACATATTGGAACTTGAGTCTGCGCAGTAGCGTTTTCGGGACCAGTCATGCGCAGTCGTGAGCAGGAAGTAAAGCCGTGAAATCAAGGCTCCGCCCTCACTCTCGCGGAATCAATCGCTAGCACACGCCCCTGCACTTTTCTTAAGTGGCCTTGTCTCTGCTCCGTACCTCTCCAATGATGTCTGCTGATTGCAGTACCTCGTTAAAATAAGGTAAATACAACTACTAACCAATCAACATTATGAAAAACAGCGTCCGTTGGTGCTTCTGTCACTACTTCACACAGAGAACCTGTCAATCACAGCTGTCAATCATGATGTCACAGCACCGTTTTTACAGCATCAAATAACTAACTAAAAACTAACTTATTTTAAAAACAAACAATTGAAATTACATCAACGTGATAGAAACTACAGTAAATGACAGAAACTATCTTTAGAAAAAAGATATGTGAAGTGTAATTTAATTATTTAGTTGGTCTCACGTCCCGTTGAATAACATGGGGAGGCGGGGCTCATGACCTATACTAGGACCGGTCACCGGGGGGCGATCGAGACGTTTTGGCTTCACTTTTGAGGGCTTGTGCGGCACGCTTGGTTAGGACCCAGACAGACCACAGTGTGAGCAGCACCCCCTGCTGGCCTCACTAACACCTCTTCCAGCAGCAACCTAGTTTTCCCAGGAGGTCTCCCATACAGGTAGTGACCAGGCTTAACCCTGCTCAAGACTGGTTGCCCACTGAAGCTAAGCTACAGGGTGATAGCTGATGGCAGTATGTTGTTACATGCAGGAAAAATGCACAGCACAGGCATAATGTTGTTTGTCTCTGTGGGGACTGATTCTTGTTTCTAAATGCAATTGCATGTTATGAATTTTCCCCCTTAAAGAATCTGTCTGCTGATATTAATAATCCTAAAACTCTTCATCCACATTGCAGTACGTAGCGTTGTGGTGTTAAATGTGCGTGTGTTTTGTGTGCAGATCTGATCTCAGCCACCAACGAGACAAACGTGAACATCCCTCAGATGGCTGACACACTATTCGAGAGATCCACTAATGCCAGCTGGGTGGTCGTGTTCAAAGCTCTAACCACGACTCACCACATCAGCATCTACGGCAATGAGGTGAGGGATACATGACTGATTTACTATAAAACTAAGGGTGTGTCTCAATCAGCTCCCTAGTTCAGTAGTCACGTTTCAGTGCCCTGTAAGGATTTTGGATTGAGACAGCCCTTAAAATGGCTGACTACCTGATCAGTGCCCTGTCCACTGAACTGGGGAGCTGATTGAGACGCACTCCAAGTTTCACAAGCAAATCTTTTGCGAGAGAACGCAAAAGCATTGAAATATGTTTTTTCTCCCATCCTATATTTTATCCACCACCATGTCCCTTTAGGGGCTCCGTAGAAAACTGCATGTATTGCATTCGCTTTTATTAAGTTCAGAGTTCATAAGGCATTTTGGTAAAATAAAATAATAAAATAAATACTGTGTTTTTCAAGATTTGTGCTTTTTAAATCCCTGCAGAGATTCATCCAGTATTTGGCCTCCCGAACTTCCCTGTTTAATCTCAGCAACTTTATTGACAAAACAGGCTCTCATGGTGAGTTTGTATACATTTGTGTGTGAGTTAAATGAATAAAGTCACATAAACGTCTATCAAATGCCATTTAACTTGTTTACTAATTCCATGAAGTGTGATCTGAAGTGTGATCCATTAAATGCAATATAAATTTGATCAACTAAGGCTGTTTATATCTTTTCTGTCTCCAAGGCTATGACATGTCGACATTCATCAGGCGATATGCACGGTACTTGAATGAGAAGGCATATGCTTACCGGGCGATGGCCTTCGACTTCACTCGAGTTAAAAAGGGGTATGTCGATTGATTCTGGGAATAGAAGGCCACATTGGCAACATTTAGACACTAGTCACTCCAAGTTATTCAATATTACATCAGGGTACATTTTAGATAGCATGATGTTGTTAGAAACGCTTCAGACTTTACTCCCAGAGTTGTTACATTTACAGATCACAAAGAGAATGCCATCTCTGAGTTAGAGCGAAAGAAAGGATGCTTTCTCAGGAATCAGCAAATACATGCATTGAACTGTTACTCCTGTATGTGTGTGTGTGTGTGTGTGTGTGTGTGTGTGTGTGTGCACTCAGAGCTGAGGGTGTGATGAGGACTATGGCTCCTGACAAGCTCTTGAAGGCCATGCCTGCCCTGCAGACTCAAGTGGACACACTGCTGGAGTTTGACGTGAGTAACATCTGGGACCTTCTGTGAAGCCGTCCCATTAACTGAGATTGTATTTATTTCAATGATTGTTCTTGTACTTTATCATTATTAGTCCATTCTTCACATGTTTTAAATTTTCTCTCTTCCCCCCAGGTTCATCCTAAAGACTTGAACAACGGCATCATAAACGCAGCCTTCTTGCTTCTCTTTAAGGATCTGATAAAGCTCTTCGCCTCCTACAATGACGGCATCATCAATTTATTAGGCATGTGACAAATAATTGAATATAGATGATCTCAATCTATGAACTATAATACATCTTACTATATTTTAAACAATTCTTAAAGCCTTAAAGTTAAAATGCATTATAATACGTGCAGATTCCTTGTTACGTCTGGTTACATCGACAATTGGTTGTTTGTCGTGTGTTTTAATGCATTCTATTTTCTAAAGGTTTGTTCAATGAATAGATGAGTGTTATAATGCATTATAACTGTATTACAATTATTCATGACAAAACAATGCATTATAAGTTGCATTACAAGTCTTAATTAATGCAGAAATATTAATTTATGCAATTTTATATTATTTATTTGAAAGAATTGAAACTGCTCTTTTAATTCTTTCAAATAAATAATATAAAATTGCATTCCAAGTAATTAATAATAAGTAATACAATTCTTTTTTAAAAGAGTGATTAGTAATTACACTATTGAAGATGTAATTAGAAGCTAGTAATTAATTACTTTTTTAGAGTAACTTACCCAACATTGATTATATATAAACTAAAGCCTTAAGTAAAGTGTTAACCAAATCTTCTATCCTGAAACAATGGGCTGTGATCTGTCTTTTTTGGTTCTACAGAGAAATATTTCAAAATGAAGAAGTCTGAATGCAAGGATTCTCTGGAGATTTATAAGAAATTTCTGACCCGGGTGACCAAAATTGCAGAGTTCATGAAAATTGCTGAGGTAAGGCCAGAAGACGAGATATTTAAAGTCAAATATATTTACAGAATACCAATTCACTTAGAATATGATTATTGCGTTTCTGTTGCAGCAAATAGGAGTGGATAAGAATGACATCCCTGACATCTCTTATGTAAGTTACTATTGTACTCAGTGACTGTCATATTCCCAAACATTCATCCTTTCATGTATGCACATTTATTGGCGTGTCACTACAGTGTAGCTCTTAATTTATATTAGAATCGGGTCAAGAATTGATTCCTTGATGTCAATGGATTGTGAAAACTTTAGAGCACTGGTTGTCTTCCTTTTAAAATAATGAAGTAAAGCTGGTGAGTGTGAAAGAGCTTTTCATCTATCCTAACCAAGCATCATAATTAAATCGCTCTCCCATGGGAATTCTCAGTGTCTGCATCCAGGCGTAGTTGCCGACATGGCAGATTCAGACAATGAAGACTGTCCCTTTAAAGACGGCTTCAACGAAGAGCCGGTAACCATGTTGACTCATATGGGACGCATTATGCATCTCAGTGCATTGCTTTTACCATGCCCACGTGGGATAGTAAAGTGTCCATCGAATGAGGTCTTCAGAAGTAGTAGGTCTACCTTTCGCCTGCTTTTTTATGAATACTATGTATTCGGACTCGGCTCACATACTGTTTTTTGCCTAATATATATAGTACAGAAGTAGGCATATTTGTACGCAGTGCATTTCTTTGTATGGGCTTGTGGTTTAAAAACAATTAAGAACTCATATAAGATGCGTTTCTGCCTTTCCTCTCCAAAAAGGTGTCCTTAAAAGGCAAATAATATCTATAAAATAGGCTACTATTGATCTGACCATACTGAAACTAGCAGAAAAGAGCTGGATAATGACACTATTGCCTTCCGTAGAGCTTCTTTTTAGCTGTAATTAAAGTTTTCAAAACTGATGAATTTTGCTAAATTAACACTGTTATTTTTCTGTTTATTTATGTGAAACTGCTTTCTGGTATTGTATAAAGTGCTGCTACATAAATAAACCTGGCTTGACTTTCTCTCAAAAATGAAAAGGTCACATTGCGATTAGCCTTTTTGTTCAGAAGCTGGGTAAAGCAATGCACTGAAGTCCAGTTGCGTCCCACAGTTTGTGCAGTGAGCTGATTTTGCAGTGCTGTGAGGAGTGGTTTGAGTAAAGGTTTTCAGCTGGTTTTGATGTGGTGTTTTATTGTTTGAATTTGCTGTGAAACCTTGAGAATTATTGACATCAAATGTGCTCTGATGGTTTTTGTACTGCTCATCATGTGTGTGTGTGTGTGTGTGTGTGTGTGTGTTTTATTTTGCTGTTCTCAGGCTCCCACCAGTATTCTGGAATCTCTGGAGACACATATGAACAGTCTAGAAGGGAAGAAAGGGTACGGGACCCCTGAACTCATTTCTAAATCACTTTAAATGTCAGATAGGAAGTAACTCTGAACTTGTAAATCAAATGCTGCATGCTAGATTTGATAGAGAAGCCTGAGCAGGGCACATAACCATGGCTGGTCACCGTGATTTTGCCAAGTAAAACATGTTAAGTTGATCCTGAAACAACATTCCTGTCTGAAAACATAGTCCTAAAACTCCTAAACCTAACCCTATCCATAACTTATACCTAAAATCATAGGTGAAATGATAGGTGAACAACACTGATGTAGATGCATGCTACTAATGTAGAAAATGTCTAAATTTGACATAAACTGTAAAAATGTCCCTCATATCTGATTGGTTGATTGGAATGTTGATCTATGGGAAAATATTTTACTTGGTGAAATCACTTTCACCAACCGTGGCTTGTCTCTGCAGTTATTGTACTGTACGTCTCCTTGGATAAGAAATAGAAGGTCTCTAACTAAGTAAATATGAATAATAATTGATGTTCTTTTCCTCCTCCTGCAATGGTTTGTTCAGGGAAGGGTGAGTATGTTTTAAATAATCTCATCAACATTTTTATCAGTTTTGTTCTTTTTATATAAAATCATCTCAATGTCTCTGTTTGTGTCCTTCAGGTCACCCACAAAGGTAAGTGGGCAATTCATTTGATTATCGTTTTGATTTTGTTCATGGATCTCACACACATATGCTTAACCCCTAGCTCTGTGTTATGTTTTAGGGATCACCCACCAATAATGTGTCTCCAACCTCCACTCCCGCCAAATCTGCCGCTGCCGTCCCAACTTTGGAGCCGCCACGCTCCGAGGCCACGCCAGCTGCCGAAACTGCCACTGAGTGAGTGACCCATGTAACCTCACTTCCTGTCGGATAAAATGTTAATCAGAACATAAGATAATATCTGACCGTACAGTTTTCATATGTTTATTAAAGTGTGTGTCTCTATCTTACCATAGTTCTCTTCTGGATCTGGACCCGTTGTCTTCCTCTGGACCTTCTGCAGGAGGAGCATCAGCTGCTCCCACATCTTGGGGAGGTACAGTTCAAACACATACACACACACACATACTCAGCATGTGAACATGTCAATTTCCAGACCAAACCAAAAAAATGTAAACAGACCTTTCCAAAGGAGTTAGCTCAGATGCATGGCTATGCTGAGGTCTGACTCAAAGATGTTGGAGTATATGTGCCAGCGTGCTCAAATTGGGTTACTTTAATATGAAACCATAAAATATTTATGATCATAATTGATCTTATCAACATGAAAAAGCATTCACAACCCATTTATACGGTGGCCGAGACAGCTCAACGCGCTGCAACTGAAGCAAACACATGCAAATAGAAAAAAACGCGTGCAAATAGAAAAAAACACCTGCAAATTAAAAAAACCCATCTTGCATCAGTTTCACAACACATGTGTGCTCCAAATCCAGAAACGCGCTGCAAAAGTTCACAACACAACCAAATACATAAACGCGCTGCAAATAACACAGACCACAACGGAAATGTTTCCAGGGGAACCAAATAAGTGACGAACCCGGCTGGGACGTGCTTACTGCTCGTGAACGTCTCTGTGCCCTACTCCCTTCGAAGGGCAGACGGCAGAGCCCTTAAAGTGGGACTTTGGAGTGAGCAGGGCTCTAGTGTGCCATTATAGCCGTGTGGAACGCACTTGATGAAGGAGCAACTAAAGACAACGTAATTCCTCATTATTTTCACCTGGGATGTTCCCATGACAACGCAGCACGGCGTCCATCAGCTGAAGAGCTGGTCTTACGACAGAAATATAATGCTGTTAACATAACGGTTGCAAATACATTTGTATTTTTACTTTTTTTTTAAATATGCGTTATATATCTGTGTGTCTCAACTTTAAAATTTTGGACCCTACATTACCTAACATTTCTTACGAAACTTTTCTTTATGAAAATGTAAACATAACATGAAACAATTTGTACAGTGTAACTGATGTATAGATAAATATCTTTCCTTCATGTTTTTCTTCTTTATCTTTTTTTTTTATTTATTTTAGTTTCCAATTCATTGTTCTTTTCTCATTTGTATTCTGATGACATTGAACATATTGTTAATACATTTTGTACATTGTATACAAGTTGTATGTCATAAAAAAATTAATCTCTGTATGTTTTGCACAAATAAATAAATAAAGTAGAATTTTAAGCTGTAAGCACCAGCACGCATAGATTTATGGATATCTATCTATGCCAGCCAGCACGTCCCAGCCGGGTTCGTCACTTATTTGGTTCCCCTGGAAACATTTCCGTTGTGGTCCGTGTTATTTGCAGCGCGTTTATGTATTTGTGTTGTGAGCTTTTGCAGTGCGTTTCTGTATTTGGTGGTGTTGTGAGTATTTGGAGCACACGTGTGTTGTGAAACTGATGAAGATGTTTTCTTAGTTTGCGGGTGTTTTTTCTATTTGCATGCGTTTTTTTCTATTTGTATGTGTTTTCTTCTGTTGCAGCGTGTTGAGCTCTCTCGGCCACCGTACATTTCACTTCCGTAATGTGACATATTTTAGAGTGAAACAGGTCATCCAGCAAGAAAACCATCAGGCTGACTGATTAAACAATGAATGTGGTCTCAATGACATCAGCTATTTTAACTTCATATTGCTCCATGACAAAACCAAAATTGCCGCAAACCCAAAATAATATGACAGACTGCCAAGAACCAAAACCAGACCTTTAACACACAAACGTCCTACCTTAAAGCGCCCGTTTTACATTTCTCATTATAAACTCTTAATGAATGCATGACTTAATTTGAAAATCTCTTTTTCTATCTGTCTCTGATGGGCCGCTGTCACATCAGATCTGCTGGGGTCAGGTAAGCGTTGTTGGCTTTTCATTTTATGTTAGATGTGTTTTCATGTGATTTGATGTGTTAAATGTCTCATGCATTTTATTAAACATTTTGTACACTTGTTATAGCTCATCTGGGAAATTTAAAATGACCATATGACAGTCCTATATATGACAAACCTAGTCTCCTGAAGCCCTTTTAGAGGGAGAATCCATTTCACATCTCTGTGTCAATCCCTCAGTCTTTGCTCAGTAGAATCTTTCTCTCTCTCTTTCTTATGCTTTTGCCCTCTTCTTTGGTACCTTTCCTGGTTATCTGTTTATTTACGTTGTGTTTATATTGGTCCGCTGGGGGCGTGGCTATGCAGAAATGGGTTCCCTTACTTCAGAGACTCTCCTTCCTGACCCAACCCTTGCCGTAGACTCCAACTCCTCAGCCACGCCCACAGCCGCTGAGGCAGCCGTTTCATTGGCTCCTCCTCCTTCCGCTGCTTCCTCCGGCTCAGCCGATCTCCTCGGAGGTCAGTAGTGAGGTTTCTTCCTTAAGAAGATGTAAAGGCTGTGCCACATTCTGAAACAGAGGAACATCCCAGCACAGAGATTGAAGATCAGATCAAAATCACAGTTTGCGGTGTTTCATTTGTGATTTGTGAAGTCTGTAGTCATCAATTCTCCATTTCTGTCTGCAGTAGAAATCTAGAGCTTCTCATTTCCTTTTCTGCTTTATATCTTCCATGCTGCAGTTTTTATTTGACATTCATTTGCCATCAATGCTCCACAGGATCTTGTGTATTAAAATTACACATATGAATTATAATCATTTGATTATTCTTATGTGTAGCTGTTGCAGACTGCACAGTAAGTTTAATCCGGTTTTCAGTTGCAGTTTTACATTCAGAGAATGCAAAACGTTTTAAAGTGAGAATGAAGTCAAAACTGATACATTTTGCTTTCTAATACATGCTCATAGAAAAAGTTATGTAAACTCTTTCCACGCCAGCGTTTTCTAAAAAAGTTGCCATCCACGGCCTGCATTTTTGATAATTATCCCCAGAATATTTTGTTGTAAGAATACCTGAATAAGAAGAAAGAAATAACAGAGCCTCTGCTTTTAAATAAAAATCCCATTTTATTTAAAAGCTGTTTTAGCTTCATGTGTTCTTTTTTTAACAACACTTGAATGTGGGTAGCAACATTTTGAACAAAAAGCTTAGAAAATCACGTTTTTTCAAAGACTACAGCGTGCATAAGCAATGCTTTTATCGCTTGTTTCTGCTCCTTTTTTGCCTGTGTTTTGATCTGGAGATTCAGTACTCTTTCAGAAGATGCGTAATAGCGCCCCCTACCTTATAACAGTGAAAAAAACGGAAAGCCGTGAAATTCCGCCAATGGCGGGGAAAGAGTTAAAAAGAAAACAACCTGTGAAATAACTCTAATTTATGGTTGCATGGCTGAATGGGCTATTAGTTAATGTTAATCAACAGATATTTAGTAAATATTTTGTGAGTAATGCAGCCATTCTAAAATCTTACCAATTTAATAATGATTTAATGATATGATCAAGTTCAATCCTACTTTCGTATGGTTGAATATTCTGGAAATCATGTCATGTTACTAAAGTAAAATGAGTTACGAATATTTAATATTAACAAAATTGGTCAGAATTATTATATAGTGCACTCTTGAAAATAAAGGTTCCAAAAGGGTGTTTACAGAGCGATGGCATAGAAGAACCATTTTTGGTTTCTCAAAGAAACTTAAAAAAAAACATCATTTTCTTAGTGTGAAGAACATTTTAATAATCTAAATAACCTTTTTCCACTATAAAGAACATTTTGTGCAATGGAAATGTTCCATGGATGTTAATTTAGATGTTATTTTTAAGAGTGCATGTTATTTTAAGTATTCAGGACATCATTTAAAATATTTCAAATGCAAACGTCTTTTTTCCGAACTTTGCATGACACTGAAGTCTTGTCGTTTCTTTCTCTTTATGCTATCTACTCTCTCTATTTCCTCTTCCTCCTCTCATCCTTTTCTTTGGCTATTATACGTCAACCCTTTGGCCCTTGTGTGCGGTACTCCAGATGTGTTTGCGGCCCCTGCGGCTGAAACAGCTGCTGCTGCAGAGGGCGGGGCCACAGCAGCCACGCCCACTTCTGCTGCCGATGGCACCACGGCAACTGGTGGGTGGCAACAGTTCAAGCGCATATGTGTATGTGAGAATGTCGGTATAGAATGGGTGAGAGAGAGAGAGTGTGTTTTCTTGTGATTTACCGCTTTTTCATTTACCGCTTTTATAAGAACCACATAGAGCCTCTTCTGCTGGCTCTTCCCTAATGAAGCCTCCTCTGGTCAATGTTGAGTTTTCTGAACTGGCATCGGTGTTGCCGTGGAGATTGCTATCTGTGTTGCTAGGGCAATAGTCTTTGAACATTGAAGTTCGGTTCTCTGGGGGGCAGAAGCAGATGTCGACTTGTTAGGCGCGCAACACTCAGCGTGTCTGACAGAATAATCAGCTCTAACTTCCACAGAGAGAGGAGAGTTCTTCTATTTTTCTTTCTCATTCTTCTTTCTCTGAAGATTCATCCTCAGGTTGACTTTATCTATCTTATTTTAATGTAAGAGCAGGTGCGGCTATTTGTAACTTAAATGTGCGAGGCTTCCAGTGTCATTCGCTTCCAGTTCCACAAAAACAGTCCGCTATGCTGTTTGATATTGCAAACTTAATTATTGTAATCATAAACACATTGGTGCAATATTGCACTTTGTTATTCTTCTATCTAGTTATTAAATGACACCCAATTAACAGGGAACATTCTCAGACCTTTGGCAAACGTGAAAGGTTCTCTCAAAGTTATGAACAAACGTTTTTTTTAGATGCTAAGAATTCATTAGCATCTACACTAATAGAAGCCTCGCACTAGCTTATTCTGCTTTGCAAAATAAGGTGGATATAATAAATAACAACAGTCTCAGAGCCTTGAAGATGTTTTTCGTTCACCCTCTTCTCCCGGTATAGATCCCTTCGCTCCAGCGGCTGGTTCTGCTGATAACTCCCTTCAGTTGGACCTGTTCTCCCTGCAGCCAGTAGATGACAGTAACGCTCTCTTTAGCTCAGTGGCGCCCACTACTGGCCCGGCATCTGTCTCCACCACCACTAGCGATGTAGCCCACACTGCTTCCCCAGCACCTACGATAGACCTATTTGCTGGTAAACCCCTTAGGCCAGAAATTTAGCATGTCCCATGAAAATCTTATCCCCCCCCCATCCCCCCCCCCCCCCCTAGATTTTGATTGATTTGATTTGTGTTGTGTATTATTAATATTATTTATGTTTTGTCTTTATAAATGTCCTCTTGTCTTTAGGTTTTTTTCATCCCATGCCAGATTCATCAGTTCCCAAAACAGACCCTAACCCCAGTCTAGACCTGTTTTCAGCAGGTACACACAGCAGTACATCCATCCACTCATTCCTTGCCTCGCTTGTACATTTTTTTTCTCCATTCTGTCCTTGACTGCTCAAGGTGAGCCAAAAATGCTTCTCTCCAAGGGCAGTCGACACACTCGCTCACCCCCTTAGGCATTCGTTCACTCCTTTTTCTTTCCCAATCTCTCTGTCTGTGTTTTTCTTGAAATGTCTCCAAGACCCACTAGTTACATTATCCCCACAGAGACGTTTTTATTTTCACTTGCACCCTTGGGCTTTATCTCATTCACCTGTCTTTATCGATGAAGTAAACGGGTTCTGACCTAAAACTGATGCACCTTGCGGGTTTAGTTGTGATATTTTAGTGTTCCTTTTACATAGATAGATGCATAAAGTTAATGGATGTTAAACGAGTAAGACTTCAGATGCCAACTAAACTCGTTCCTGTGCTCCAGATGTGTTTCACCCTCCTGCCGCTGCTCTATCTGCCCCCATGAGCTGGCCCGACAGTGGGGCAAATCTGGACCTGTTTGGGGGTTGGTAACAACCCCAGTGTGCATGATTTGCAATGGTTTGATTTGCATGTTTTGCTCAGATGGTTGCTATGGATTCTGTTATTGGGAAATAAAGCTGTTCTGATGGTTGACGCCAGACAGCAGTTGTGAGAGATTCCCTGACCTGACAGGAAGAAGTGAAAAGACTTAAATAAGGTGTATGTGTGTGCTTTTGTGGTTCTTAACACATTTGTGGGTTGTATTTGTGTGCCCAGCTAACACAAATGTTCTAAGAACGTTTTGCTAACAGTGAATGAAAACGTTATTTTTGAATGTTCTCTGGACATTACAGTTTTTTAAAGGGGCTATATGTAAGAATTTTAATGTATTTGATTTTTTATTGCCAATGTGTGAACAGCTTGTTACAAAACTTTAAAAAAAACGAGACTTCCTAGGTTGTCTATGAAAGCCTGTAGACTGATTTTTATGTAAAGGACTCGAGACGTTTTTGCCGGGAAAATCAAAAGGATGTGACATTTACTTGCGCTGCCAAGAGCCTTCTGTTCTATGACACTAAATTAATGCTTATACATTATACTTATGTTCAGGATAATGCAGAAAAAGCTATTATGTACTTAATGTCAATGTGTCATGCAAAGAAAGGGATTAATTCAAACTATAGTCTCACATAGACAGATATATAGTCTCAAATATTCTTTATAATCAAAACTATCATGACAGTGTAATTTTAATTACAATTATCTGTTGACATGATGCTGGTGAATTGCAGAGCTTGTGCAAACATTTCAACATCACTATGATCAGATGCTTTCTTAACTGCTGTTTTCTCACCGATGTCATTTTTGTTGTGACACACGTCGCTCTCAGTAGTGTGGACGGCTGTTCGTTAACAGTAAATCGCTGCAGTAAATCTTTTTAGTTCTAAGCAAAGACAAGTGAGTATGTCGGGCCTTGAATCACTTTCATAAGTTGTGGCTGCAGTTCACTTTATGCCCACCGGTGTCACTATTAACAAGGGTTTCTGAATTCTTTATATAGCCCCTTTAAATGTTTTTACTTTTTCTTGGTTATGTGAACGTTAGAGACAACATTAAGGGAATGTTCCATTTTATAATTCTGCAAACATTATGGAAACGTTACTATTGAATGTTCTCTAAACCATCTGAAACTAATAAGTAGTAACATTTAAAAAACTTTAGATGAATGTCCAACTAAAATGTTAAAAAATGTTCCATAAATGCTGTATAAATAATGTTTTTGGGCTAATGTTTGGAGAATGTTATTAAAGACCAGATAACATTCTATTAACGTTACTAGAAGAATGTTTGTACATAAGTTCTGTTAGCTTGGTGATAACAATCTCTCTCTTTCTCTCTCTTTGGGCTTGACTCTCAGTGTAATGGCTTTGGCTCACTCACCTGCTCACTTTTTTACCCTCATGCTGCGTGGATGGATCAGAATCGGCAGGTGCTGGTGAGGCCAAACCAGCCGCAGCAACCACAGGTGGAGATCTGATGTCGGGTACGTCACCTGCAGACCTCATGACTTCTTTGTTCTTTCTTCATGTCTTTTTCATGGTTTGTCTGGTGTTCAAAACAGTCATGTTTACTATCTTCATAGTCCAAAGCATGGAAACTGCAGCATGTTTTCATACCCTTAGGAAAGACAAATCCCAAATCAGATCTCAGTCGTTTCTCAACGATAGCAATGAGATGGGGAGCAAATCATGCACCTAAAGTCAGCATTAAAATGAAAATCCTATTTTCTAATGTTATAGATATTATTGTGAACAATTTGTCCATGCATACAGGATGTTTAATTTGAATGGTTAATCAAAATGGCATAACTGGTGAAGACTTCTCTCTGGTGTTGTATGCAGGACTTCTCCAATCATTTAGTCCGCTTAAACCCCACTCTTGAAAACTCACATTCGTCCTCTTTTAAGAGTCACGCCCACATCTCAATCATCATCCAATCAACAACTGATGCCTAGAACCAAGACCCTGCCCGACTTTTTTATTATCCTTTTCAATAATCCACTACACTCGGATGTATGTCATGATAGAGAAGAAAAGATCTGCCGCTACTTTTGTTTCATTGTGACTTAAAACCTCCTATCTGATTTTTATTCTGAGAAAAGACCTTTGTAATCTCACGAGTTTCAGAAGTGCTCAGATTTGCCAAAATACCAAAGTCTGACATATATTTATGTAATCCACATTTTTTTCAATGAACCATAACTGAGAACTCAAATTAAGCGATTATTTATTTATTTATTATATCAACATTTTTCTTCTGGGTGTATGCGTCATTTTAACATAGCAGAGGTGTTTTTATGTGTGTTGATGTCAGTTTAGTGATGTGTGTGTGCCTGGTGTATATTGAGTCTAGACACGTTACATCTCAGTTGTGTTGTGGTGATACTGACATGTTGAGATGAGATCCGTGTTTCCATCTGTTTCTCTCATGCGTGGCGTTTATGTTCATCTCAGCTATACGTGGACTGAGAAAGCCTTCTTCCCAATGCCTTGCTGCTTAATTCTGCTCTCTCTTTTCCCTTATTCACTCACTCACTCTCTTTTGTGCTCATCTGATGTGTCTTCTGCTTGACGACACTTTCCTCTCCCTGATCATGTTCTCTTCTTCTTCTATTACTTCTTCCAATGTTTCATATTCCCTCTTTTTATTATTTGTTTCTTCATTTTCCATATCTCTTCCCATCCATCTGGCTCTTGGGTCATTGCTTGCTTCCTCCTGTGCTACTGGTGAGTTCTGATGCTCCTACACCAGCTGCAATCCCACAATGCATTGCTGCATTGCAGAATAGGGCTTCAGTGAAAACTGAAAGACTGCTAATCAAGCTATAGGAAAAGTATAAGATGGATGGATGAATGAATGAATGAATGAATTAAAGTTTGGATGTTTTGCAAAGATCTCCAGTGTTAGATCCTGTGCATTAACATGTGCTATAATAGAAACCAATGGTTGAAAAGTTTATTATTAAAAATCAGTGCTTAGTAAAAGCTTTACAGTAATGTAGGTTATTTTAGGGTTGTTTCACAACACATGCGTAAGCAGTGGCGCATACTGTTACCGGTGCCCATATTAAAAGGTTACGACGCTGAGCCTATTTTTGCTGTGTTTAGTGGGCAGAAAATATGTTGAAAATGCAATATAAACCTATTTATCAACACAATATTTTGCAATATAGCAGCATCAAACAATGGAGGGAATTAATCACCCATTTTTTGAAAAAAGACGAATGTCAGCCTTGATTCCACATGCAGCTACATGCACACAAAAAGCATTTTTTATGATAAAAACCCGTGAGAAGACAATATTATTTTCAGTATTGAGCCGTATTTTGTAGTGTCAATATAAAAGCACAGCAAGCTTTTCGTAGTAGTAAGTGCTGCTTATGCATGCTGTGTGAAACAAGTCTAACACTACAGGTGTTTCAGAGCTGTTAAATGTTATGATTGAATGAATGTTTAATGTGTCAGTGTGTGTGTGTAGTCATGGTGTGTCTTGATAGCGCTCAGCTCTCTTTCTTCCTGCTCTCAGCTCTCTTTCTTCCTGCTCTCATTCTTACACCATAGTTGTGTTCGAAATCACCCCCTGTACCCTCATTCACTATTCCCTGCATTTCTCCACTAATATATACTCCACTTGAAGGAGTGAATGAAATCGACACTGAGTGCGTCGGAAGGCCTGCCGCTTTTGCATAGTTTGCGCTTGCCATTTATTAATCTTTTTGAACTGGCAGTACCAGTAGTAAGATTTATCTTGAACTCTGTCATGGAAACTAGTATGTATAAACCTTAATTCAAAAATATGATAATCAATTAAAAAGTCATTTATATCTGTATGATATTATGTAGCCACATTGGACCAGCGGTTTGGAAAATGGATGCGGGTGCCATCTTCTGGTGAGACGTGGGAATTCATTCGGCCTGACCCTCACAGTGCATTATGGGTATTCTCTAGCCGTTGAGTGTAGACTCGTTATTGCGGTGAATTATGGGATTGCACTCAATAACATCCACTATGGTTTCAGACACCACTACAAATGGCTGTTCCCTCAAATAGTGCCCTATTTAAGGGTATAGGGGGGCGATTTCGGACACAGCCCATGCCTACACCGGACTATACCGTTGTTGTGCCACACTGGATGTGACAAAGCGACCATTGCAAATCCATTTGTTCTTCATATCAGAAGAAGCGAGAGCACTTGAAGTACGTCAGAATAGAATGGGGAATCAGTTTACCGTCAGGAATTTGTCGTGTCGCGCCACATCCAGTGTAGTCAACATCACTGATTATAATGTCGCATTGCGCCGCTCGTGTCTGGTGTAGACACAGGGTTAAGATTTTTCTTGTACTGGTTGCCATAGCGATATACCCTGCATGAGGGTTGTTAGCATTCAGTTTAGCTCCCCTTTTTCTTACTATTACTGAAAAACAAGCTCACTATGTTTGTCTTACTCTTGACTCCCTCTTAAGCTTTTGATGGAATGGGTGATATGCTCATGCCAGCTATGGCTCCCCAGGCATCAGGGGCGTCACCCATGACCAACTCACCGGTCAAACCCATGGGAGGAAACCTGGACTCAGCTATGGCCAACATGGCCAGCAGTACGTTCCCATCCATTTTTTATTTGGTGTACTCCAAAATCATAGCCAATATACAATAAAAAAAATAGTGTATTTAAAAGGATAGTTCACTTTGAAATAATTTTTTTATATGTTTTAGCTTACCTCAAGGGCATCCTGTGTCTTTGTTTCCGCAGTAGTTTCAATTTTGATATTTTTAGGTCAAACCGTTCTTGTCTGTCAGTCATATAATGCAGGTCTATGGTCACTTCCTCAAAGAGCATGCACAGAGAAGTCCAAATTAAATATGATTTAATGACTCGTAAATGTAAGTACACATTGATGGCCTAAGACACGAAACGAGCAGTTTGTGTGAGAAAACGAACAGTATTTATATCGTTTTTACCTCTTGTAACGCACAGACCGAAGCGCCCGTGCCCTCAGATCACTTGGACGTGGCTTTGGTTACAAGAGGTAAAAACTATATAAAACTGTTCGTTTTCTCACACAAACAGCTCGTTTCGTGTCTTAGCCCATCAATGTGTACTTACATTTACGAGTCATTAAATCATGTTTAATTTAGACTTCTCTGTGCATGCTCTTTGAGGTGGTGACCATAGACATGCATTATATGACTGACAAGAACGATTTGACCTAAAAATATCAAAATTGAAACTTCTGCGGAAACAAAGACACCTACATCTTGGATGCCCTTGAGGTAAGCTAAAACATATCAAAAATTTATTTCAAAGTGAACTATCCCTTTAATGGCATCTATGGTCTCACATTCTTAACAATGAAGGTTCTAAAAGGGGGGTTTTGCAGCGATGCCATAGAAGAACCATTTTTGGTTGCCCAAACAACCTTTCAGTAGAACAGTTCTTAAAATACCCTTTTTTTCTCTAAAGAATAATCTAAAGAACGTTTTTCCACTGAAAGAAACTTTTGTGCAATGGAAAGGTTCCATGGCTGTCTTTATGGAACCATTGATGCCAATAAAGAACCTTTGTTTTTAAGACTGAGAACCTTTAGCATCCATAGAACCTTAAAATTCCATAGAACCATAGAAAAAATAAAGGTTACAAAGGGTTTTGTTTCGCAGCAATGTCATAGAAGAACCATTGGGGTAAAGTGGAAAGAGGTTCTTCGTGTTTTTTTTATAGTGGAAAAGGTTCTTTAGAATAATTAAAATGGTTATTTTAAGAACTGTTGATTGAAAGGTTCAAATGAATGGTTCCAATGAAACCTCAATGGTTCTTCTATGACATCACTGTGAAAAAAAACAACCTTTTGTAACCTTTATTTTTAAGAGTGTAAGAGCTAACAATTATAAGAATCTAAAATTGTATATCTCTCTGTCTGTGCTTTCAGATTTGACAATGGGGAACCAGAAACCGTAAGATACAGTAACGTATTCTCGATTTCACCATATTTTCTTGCCCCCTTAAATACATATTTGTGTATCTGTTCCTCTTCTGTTTCTGTCTCTCTCTGTCTCAGGGGTGAAGCAGCTGGAGGGACGAACTGGCAAGCGCAGGTACCCACCCCTAGCTGGGGCGTTGCCATGGTAAATGTTGTGTTGTTCTGTAGATGTGGAGCATGGGGTCGGAGCATGGCTTTGAGCAGCATGGCGTGGAGCCAATCACGAGCTTCCCCTTCTCCCCGCCTCTCTCTTGGCTCCTATCAGCTGAATGAGCAGGACTAAAGAGGCGGAGCTTTCTCATATTTGAAACTTAGGGTTGAAATATGGAAACTCTTGAAATGTCAACTGTACATTTCTTATTTCAACCTCTTTATATAAACTGCACTGGTAACACTTTACAATAAGGTTCCATTTGTTAACGTTTACTGCATTAAATAACACGAACTAACAATGAAAAATACTTCTAAAGCATTTATCAATCTTAGTTCATGTTAAAAATGTACTAATACATTATTAAATCAAAAGTTGTATCTGTTATTATTACATTGTTATTACTAGTTTATTATTAACTAATGTTAAGATGAATAAATACTGTAACATGAGTTGCTCATTGTTACCACTGCATTGGTTATTATAAAATTATATATTTACAAAAGGATGTATCAAACTTTACATTCATAATCTTAATCGTTTGTGTAAAGTGTGAAAAAGCCAAACAGTAGCTTCAGATTCAGTCTCGCTTTAGAGCTTCAGACCTGTTTTGGCTTGACAGCCGCTTCCTTCTCTTCTCTTTGTTTTTGTTTTTATTATTACTATAATACTAAACACATATATGCATGTACATCCCCCCTGAAACATTTAAATTCACACTTAAATCAAATTGTTAACCACCATTCCAGTTTGTGCACTGTGCAGATTCCCTTCTGTGTGTCGTAGAGTCATTTTGTTCAGGTGTTGTCCTGTTCTGTGTTGTTTGGTGTTAACCTTTCCCCCCCATCCCTCCCACTCGCTTAGAATCCCCCTCTTGGGGTCTGTCCTGTCATGGGATCCCCATCACCATTTGGCATGGTAAGAGTGTGTGTTTAAGTGTATGTGTGTGTGTGAAGGCGTTTGTGTTTGTTTCTCTTACTGTGTCTCTCTGCGATTTACAGCCTGGAGCAGGAGCTTCTCCCATGATGCCTGGCTCACCGATGATGGCCTCCCAACAACCAATGATGAGGCCACAGTTTCCGGCAGCAGGAGCCCCTGGACAACCGGTATTTTAGACATGAATGCAGTTGAATTTTTCACTTAGGCATTATAATAGTCATTTAGACAAGAAATGCAGACACACGTACTTAATAATTGCTCCCGTTATGTGTGCGTTTCCCCCACAGATGTCTCCGGGAATGGCCCAGAGTCCCAGAAAGCCTCCACCTTCTAAAGATCCTCTCGCTGACCTCAATATCAAAGACTTCATGTAGATGAGCAGCTGGTGTAAGTTTAACTACAGCTACAGCAGATGTGAAATCTGACGACAGGAAACAGAATGAGACGCAAGCGGAAATTATGTTCTGCATCTGATGCATCTCGTTTTTAATATTATATTAAGAATGTAGTTGTAAAAACGTGAGTTACATGAAAATAGTGTCATCTGGGGCCGTAACCATCAGGGGAACACGGATCAAAATTTAATCAATATATAGTGATCAATCAATATTTATTAATATATACTGTATATTAGGGATGTAAGGAGCGATATTAAAACGTGACGGTATTTCTCGTAGAGGTGAAAAGCTGTCTCGTGACATCAGCATGATCGAGTTGAGTTTGTGGCAAAACCTTTTACAGTGCTTGCATTATATTGACCGCATTATTAGACCATTTTCTAAGGCTGCTGCACGATATATTAAAAAAAAACATTTAAAAATCATAATATAGCATAGTGCAATTGAAGCGAATTGTTGCATCTGGGAACGTAACATCGACTTTTCACCATTTATAAACCTACGCTGACACAGGAAATGCATCAATATGTTAAATATGCAATTTCAAAGAGAAAAGTTAAAACCCTCGATCTGAGTTTGAATGATTTGATGTCCACATGTTCTTGTTCAAGAAATGACGGTGGCTGTAGCATTTCTATCATAAGGAAGTGGCCAAATATTAAAGATTAGGTGGACATTTGAAAGAATTTCAAGGATAACACACAAGGATTTGATCACGTTTAAAGTGTAACACCAACAATCACCAGGTTGTTGGCGCCCTCTGCAGGCATAATGTTGTTCGCATTTTGTATATTGCATCGTTCACGTAGGTCTATTTTTTACTAAAAATATTATCAGACTACTCCAATAATCATATGTATGTAATTATGTATATATATATATATACAAACACAAATACATATGCATATAAAATACTAAAACCTCTTTCTTTTTTTCTGTTGCAGTTGTCACACTTATTGTGCAGCCCCGATGAATCAGACGTGTGTACTCTCTTCCATTCATCACATTCAGGGCCTCCAGACCCTCCTTCTCTCTCTCTCTCTCTCTCTCTCTCTCTCTCTCTTTCCCTCCCTCCCTTTCTGTCTGTTGTTGTAGCACAAACCGTGAACGTGACTAAATACATGTGTGTACGTGTGTTTGTATTTCAATGTTCTCAGTTACTTCAGATCTATATATAAAAAAAAAATAAAAAAAATACTATGAAGAGTAATGGGCGATGCATTCTTGAACGTGCATCTGCGGGTCTCTTAATGATAGATGTGCATTCATTTTTCCTGGCTCGCTTTCCGTGGGAAATCAAATCAAATGTGTGACGTTTTCTGTGGAAAATGTTTTTTTTGCTGTGGAAAATATCACTGGGCCGGTATGTGTCATCATCAGTCGAGTATTAGTCATCTTTTGACCATGGAATAACTTCTGTGGGAACAATATCAACGTATTACGAGTTAAGGTAGTGTCTCGCGCACTGTTTCTTTTTATCAATGCCCTGATTTTATTCTTTTTTTCGTATCTATATTGATTGTGAGTTACATGTGACATGTGACCATTTAATGAAAATAAATATGCATTTTAGAACATTTTCAATTACAGATTGTTTTGAATATCCTTAGTCTTTATTTTGAGATAAAAAGGTTGAATATATTTTAGTTATGTCAGAAGTTTACTTTGCATACTACATGGCTAGTTAGTAAATCCCATTTGTACAAAGGTCTGTGTCCATCAAAAGACACTGTCTGAGCCGATCGAGTCCTGCTTGTACGTACAATATAATATCACAGCATGTAATTCCTTTGTTGTGTAAAGGGGGACGCCATTGAGCCAGAACAGATTCTATCAGCAGCAAGTTCATCAGCCAGTCTCAAAACAGGACTAAATAGAACTGGCTGCCCGGTGTTTTGTTGTATGCAACTTTGCAAGTGAGTGTTTGCTGCAAGTATCAAGGATATCAAAGGGACAAACAGCAGTTTAATGGGACAGTATTGCATTTTATTGATGGCTGTTTTTTATTTCAATTGAACATTTTGTTGATAAATTTTATTTTTGGATGGAATAACACCCTTTGCCCCTCCCACCTTTGTGCATGTTAGTCCTGTTGAAATGCAATAAACAGTGATCTGGAGAGAAACGCCACTGTGTCATTATTGGGTATACGTAAATGTATATGCTTACACTGAAATTGTGATCTGGTAAAGTTCATAAGAGCTCCCAAAAAATATATAAACATACATTTAATCCCCAATCTGTTTCTCTCTCTCTGATGCGCAAGCATCTAATGTAACGCTGTTACACAGCAAACATAAAGCAGTGTTCAGACAATCCAGGATGCCGAAGCCAAGATGGCACAATGTATTCATGGCTAAAGCGACACTGACAGATCCACAACCACTGAACAAACCAATGAGTGGACACTGATGTTATGAATGGATATCAGTCTCCCCATTGCTCTTTCTCAGTCAGTGTTTGACATGGCAGAAAATACCTCTTTAATATATGAATGTGTAGTAGAAAAGAGCACTGATGGCTAACAGAGCGACGGACAGCATCATGTTCTTCCTGTTCTCTCCTCTCAGTACCTGCAGCTCCTTTTCTGAAGATAAAACAAAAATGACATCATCATACAGAACTGCTCTTCCCAAAAATGTATTCAATACCAAATGACGCAATGCATCAATACAGTTTTGTGATTTATTTCCTATTGTGATGTGTATCCATGTGAAACAAGAAAAAAAAGTAGTGACTTGATTTAGTTCATCAGGAATTGTTTGGATGGTTGCCGTTTGCTATTGGTCGAGCTCATTTGAGTGACAGATTGTCCCGCCCTCACGCCAGTAAACACGTTGTCAGAGAAGTTGCAAGAGGTAGGGGAAGTTTAAAAAATAATGAGGCACATGAATAAAATTAAAAAAAAAAGATGTGAATGGATAAATCATGTAAATTAATAATTTCAAATAAATACTGCAATATTCCTATAAAAAAACCCAATAATTATTCATTTTGATTTCACGGCTACTTTAAATTCCATAACCCATGGACTAAATATTCATTGTCAGACTGACGCATTTTTACACCCCTAATCTTTCCATAAAAGTGACTCACCATATTTCTGTATTCTGATATTCATTATGGTCATGTGCCACACCCTGGAAGGGATGTCATAGCCACAGAATCTTTTTTTATTTTTTTATTATCACATACTTGCTAATGATGCCCTCAGTGTTGATTTTTAGTAATAAAAACATATCCATGTAAAGATAGAAATCATTAAGCTTAACTGTCCCACTTTACCCATTGTCCCACTTTACCAGTATTCACCTTCTATATATATGAAATACAAATGTATACTGAAAGCACACTGTCACTCTCCCTCGCTACCATGGATACCACCTCTGCTGATACACAAAGTCCTTTTAGGCAAGTCATGCCACTCGGCCGCCATCTTGGCAACGCCTCCGGGCAGCTATTTCGGACTAACAAGACCAGGCTCCTATCTAAATGAATGGGCAGAGAGTCAGAGCTGCAGTTTCACTGGTCACCGGGACATAAAAACTGCATGTATAGAAACAGCAGTAAAATATGATAAAAATCGCTGAAAAAGTTTGATGGCTTTGCCCCAAAATAAGGTTTAAAACGCCTTTTTCCCCACAGGTTTCCCCACATACTTTTACTACGCATGCGCAAGGGTTCTCTCCCTCGGTCGTGCGCGCTCTACACAGTTTGAAGCACAGTATGTGCTCGCTCTTGCTCGCTCGCTCTAGATTCCGGGAGATTTGAACTAATTTGCGGGCATCAGGGAGCCGCTATCAATCTGCGGCAGACTTCTGATGTCTGATATTACACAACTCACACATACACTTCACATCAAATCTGCCACCTTTTCAAACAGTAGCGTATTTTGCGCTGTCGCAAACCTCAACTGTGCGCATGCGTCAGTGGAACCAGACGATAGGCTTAAATGTTTCCCGGCTTGACTGTTAAAAGCAGACGATTGGCTTTCCAGCGGGAGGGGCGGGACATGTGCATACAACCGCCATCTTTGGGATTACGGGTTATCCCTATATAGTTGTATTAAGGATTGATGAAGTGGCATGTCTCTATATAAATAGTCTCTGTGATACAGGAGCAGCCCAAATGCGCGCACCCGTTTGAAGAGGCACGGAAGCTTGTAATAACAATTATGGCAGAGAAAGAACAGTCAAAATTCTCAGTACCTGCATATACAGGCAGCGAAGTCAAAGAAGTTAAAAAAAGGAAGACAGTATTTGAAAAGGCTATGAACAAAAAGTATTTGGATAAATCAAGAAATCATAGGAGAGTCAATATCGGCGTGGCTTTCCAGCGGTGGCGACAACTGAGGGATCTCAAGGGGCTGAAAAGTGACTCCATGATGGCATTATTTCTGCTGGACAGGTAATCTCGCTGTTTTCATTTTGATGGCATTTATTTTTTCATGAAGCATGTATCACTAGCACACGTAGCTACCTATAGCTACCTAACGTTACGTGGCATAACTAGGTTACTCACGTAACCTATTGTATTGTATTGTAGTATTGCGTAGCTATACGCAGTGGGGGAAACTCCTTTTCCTCGATTTACTGAAGCCTTTATGTAAAACGCATTTGCAGCTGCACAGCAGAACATGAGCATCTGGCTCGCTCATAGGCTGCGCTGCGGCAACTGCATATCCAATGGCGCGGGCGCCTCTGACGTGCGACCAATGAGATCACTCTGCGTCATACACGTCAGAGCCCACCAAGGGGGCATGACCTCATATAATAGTCCCCGAATTCGCCATTATAGCAGGTTTAACGACTGAAGCGACAACTTGCCATGTTACTATAGTGCGGCTGGCTACGCAATACTTGTTCCCTAACTCAGGGAACTGAGGTTACGTGAGTAACCGAGTAGTTCCCTTTTGAACGGGACGCCATGCAAAACGCCGCACTGGATAACTGTCTGCCACTGCAACTCAGGACCCCTGAGTATACAGAACAAACCATAACCGCATAATTATGTATAAATAGACCAGACACCGTCAGGTCTAAAATAGTACACCTTAGTTAGTAATAACCCAACCTACTACACCAATGAACCCAGACACTGTCGGGGTTATTAGTATATGAACATACCACCAGTCAAGTGGGTTTATATATAAAATTATAGCCGGCCAAAGCGGGTTTATATATGTATGGAATATAACCGGCCAAAGCGGGTTTTATATATCTCATATAACCGGCCAAGAGCGGGCTTTCTATATATGTAAATCTACCCGGCAACAGCGGGTTTATGCATGAATACAACCGGCCAGCAGCGGGTTTTATATATATGTGAAGGTGATTGTGCACAGTAATATATGACAAGACCGGCCACCGACGGGTCTTAATCATACCGAAAGCACCTTTGCCTGCAGGGAAGGCACTTCCATATTATAGAAATTCATAAATGTGGAAGGCGAGGACCAGCCGGCCGCATCACAAATATCCCTAATGGGAATGCCAGATGACCAAGCCCATGACGAGGCCATACCTCTGGTCGAATGGGCCTTGATGCCTATAGGGCAAACTTGACCCGCTGCGGTATAAGCCATAGAAATAGCATCCACTATCCATCTAGACAGTCTTTGCTTAGTGACTGGATCCTCCTTGGATCTACCACCAAAGCAGACAAAAAGCTGTTCTGATTGTCTAAAAGACGCAGAACGCTCCAGATAGATTCTCAGCGCTCTGACAGGGCAGAGAAGATTAACCTCTCCATCCTCTGCAGAAGGAGGGAGGGCTGATAACGTCACCACCTGTGCTCTGAACGGTGTTGAGAGCACTTTAGGAACGTAACCTTGTCTGGGCTTGAGGATGACTCTGGAGTCATCTGGACCCAACTCCAAACATGCAGGGCTCACAGAGAGCGCCTGCAGATCTCCCACTCGCTTGATAGATGCCAACGCCATAAGGAGAGCGGTCTTCAGCGAGAGAGGTTTTAGATCAACCGATTGGAGCGGTTCAAAAGGCGGACCTTTCAGAGCCCCCAGGACCGTGGAGAGGTCCCAAGACGGCACAGACGGAGGTCTGGAGGGGTTCATTCTCCTAGCACCTTTAAGAAATCTCACGACCAAGTCGTTTCTTTCCAGTGACTGGCCAGCCACCAGAACATGATGTGCTGCTATGGCTGCCACATACACTTTGAGCGTGGACGGGGAGCGACCCGCATCCAGCAGCTCCTGTAAGAATGAGAGAACCACAGATATCTCACATGACTCTGGGTCAGCCTGATTTTTCGAGCACCAGCTGGAAAAACCCAACCATTTTGAAGCATAAAGGCACCGAGTCGAAGGGGCCCTGGTATCAGATATGGTGCTTAAGACCTTCTCAGGAAGGTCCTTTGGTACCCGTTGAGGGGCCAAACATGGAGGGCCCATAAATCGGGTCTCGGATGCCACAATGTCCCGTTCGCCTGTGTGAGGAGGTCTTTCCTCAGTGGGACAGGCCATGGGATTGTGTCTGATAACTGAACCAGTTCCGGGAACAACGGTCTGGTTTTCCAGAGAGGGGCCACCAGAAGGACTGGGCACCCGCTCTCTCTGACCCGTTTGATGACTTGTGGAATCATTGAAACGGGGGAAAAGGCATAAAGGGGACGGTTGGGCCAGACATGGGCCAGCGCGTCCCTGTTCTTCGAGAAGAACAATTTGCAGTGGGTGTTGATTCTCGAGGCGAAAAGGTCGATTTCGGCCTCGCCAAACACCTTCCATGTCAGACTGACCATCTGTGGGTTCAGGGACCACTCTCCGAGGGGAGTGTAGCCCCGTGAGAGCATATCCGCGCCCACATTCTGGACGCCTGGGATATGCGCTGCTCTCAGAGGGCTCAGGTTGGTTTGTGCCCATAAGAGGAGGTCTCTCGCCATCGCATGCAGGTTTCCTGACCTGATGCCCCCCTGGCGATTTATGTAGGCCACCACTGACATATTGTCTGTGCTGACTAAAACATCGTGACCTCTGAGGTTCGACAGAAATGCCTTCAGGGCCAACCCAACTGCTTTCATCTCCAGACAGTTGATATGTAAGCTCTGCTCCGTGCTCGACCAGAGGCCGGATGCAGGCATGCCCTCGTGCAGCGCTCCCCAACCCAGGTTGGACGCATCTGTAAGAACCACTTTCCTCCTGGAAATTGTTTGCATTGTCACCCCCTTGTGGTACCAGTTCTGAGCCCGCCAGGGAATCAGGGTTCTTAAACAACCGTGATTCACCATAACGCGCAAGTTGCCTGACTGCCATGCGTGAGTTGGCACACGGCGTTTCAGCCAATGCTGCAGATCACGCTCTGGCTGGGGGTTAGTTTGCTTTTTGAAACATTGATTGTGAAACCCAGGCATTTTAGATGGCCGAGAATCAAATCCCTGTGAGCTAACAGCTCGATTCTCGACTGTGCCAGCACCAGCCAGTTGTCGAGATAATTTAACACGCGCACTCCCTGATGTCTCAGAGGAGAAAGCGCTGCATCCACACACTTCGTGAATGTGCGGGGTGCTAGAGATAGACCGAACGGCAGAACGGTGTATTGATAAGCCTGGCCCTCGAAGGCGAATCTCAAGAATGGCCTGTGACGAGGATTTATTTGAATGTGAAAGTAAGCATCTTTCAGATCCATTGTGACAAACCAATCCCCCGGGCGCACTTGCGCGAGGATATGTTTGATAGTTAACATTTTGAACGGCCGCCTCATGAGAGCTTTGTCTCAAATCTAGAATGGGTCTGAGACCGCCGTCTTTTTTCGGAATCAGAAAATAGCGGCTGTAAAAACCCATATGTTTTAGCGCGGGGGGGGACTAATTCTATCGCCCCTTTTGCTAAAAGATTCTGTACTTCGGTGCGAAGCACGTGACCCACGTTGCTTCTCACCGAAGTCTCGAGAACCGCCTGAAATTTTGGGGGTCTGCGAGCGAATTGGAGCGAGTAACCTCGTTTTATAGTGTTTATGACCCAACTCGACACACCAGGGATAGCTTGCCAGGCTAGAACCCGTGTGGCTAGGGCTTGACACACAGATTGGGGCTGGTCGCCTAATGGAGGGGGACCTGATGCCCTTATATTGTGATTTTTGCACACATTGAGTATTGGACTGACTATACAAGCATTTG